GGCTGACTGGGCCCATCATCCAAGCAAGTGAAACCGTGGAGCGGAACGACCTGCGCTGACCCAAGTCGCGTTCGTTACCGCAGGGGATCGAGCTTTGCTGCTGCTGAACTGGTTGGTGCGACGCGATCCCATCCATGGATGCTGAGGGGTATATGTTAACGATATTAGCCGAATCCTTGGGTCTTCATTAAACTTACCCACACTCGTTTACAAATCCAATAGAGACCGCTTAGGGTCGATTATTATCGGCTGAATGCATACTTTACGAGGGAGAGTGTAGCGGGAAAAGGGATTTCTTTGAACCATCCGTATCCGGGGAGCACTACATTCAGCGTTTCTCGAAATTAGTATGACCTGGCTTCCGAAACCCTCCTGCCACCCTCGCTGTTGTGTCACTCATCCCACTCACATGGGAGCCGCGAGTGCCACCAGCCTCCCTCCGCCCACCCAAGCCAACATTCAATCAAAGGATCGTCGCAGGTCCCTCACTCCCTGCTTTTCGCGACACCAGAGTGGAAAGTGGATCCATGTGCTGGACGCCAGCGAGGCAGCGCACGCCCATTTTAGCCGCAGATTTACCCACTCGTGCGGGCCTACTTGCCGCGCTGTAATGCTGAACTCAGCAAGGCATGGCTTGGTAGCGTGGTAACATTGCTAACGATGACCGGAGTGTTGTCGTTAACCAATGACGAACTAGCATTAGTTAATACACCTAGTCTGCGATATCCCCGCGGGCTAGGTGTACCCCATCATGCCTGCATGATTATACCCTGATTCGGCCCACTTGCGAAGAGGTACTTGCCTCGCTGGATGGAGTGACCCGATTCGGGCCATGCACATAAGCAGAGGAACGAGCGGCTAAAGTCACTGTTCAAGCGATCACGCCCATGAGAGAAATTTCATCAATTGTTACGAGTGAAAAGATAGCATCTATGAATTAACGTATAAGAACATAAAGCCAGCATAAGGAAGCGGGCTTGAATACGAACACTAAATTGGCAATCGACCAGGCTTACAATGATGATGATACAATGGAAGGCGGAAGTGGCCTTCCCTTGAGTGACGGATACAGAGCCTGGGTGCGCTTGAAATCATAAATGTTTTCAATCACCTCCCTCTTGTCCTTTGATGTAGCTTCCACCTCTTTTGCCCCCTCCTTGCTTGTGCTACCGGTGTCATTTGCTTCGCCTTTTTCCAAGTTAGCATCACAGACAGGAGCAGCACCGGCTGAACCATTGACAGCAGGCTTGGGGGCGTTTTCCACGGCGCAGGTTGTGGCTGCTTCCCCAGGCGCTCCCTTCTCATGCCTCTGCACCTGTAGTAGCAATGGGACGGAGTCGCACAATCACCATGAATTACAATCAAGCCCCAGCGTTGGAAGCAAGCATGAGTGCTTGAGTGAAGGCAGGTGCACAGCACCAAGAGCGTACACAGAAGACACTCTCCACACCCGTGACTAGGGTTCTCTCTCTCCTCCCTGAACCCACGCCTTACCTGGATACTCAGAAGCCTCCTGCTGGGAGCGCCTTGCCTCACCACGGTGGCAAAGAAATGCGCCACGTGGGATGGGCGCAGCAGTCGCAGCTCCGCCACCTGGTGGATGGGGGGGGGAGGAGGGAGGAGGAGAATGGGTGGGGGGAGAATGGGAGGGGGGAGGGGGATTTGGGGGGGGGGCAGGGGTTTGGGGGGGAGGGGAAGGGGGATTGGGTGGGAGTTGAGGGAGGGAGGAAGGGGGGGAAAGATGTGGAGGGTGAGAAGGTGTGGGGAGCAAACAAAGCAAGAAAAAGCAGCACAAGCGAAAGACTTCGGGGTGGTGGAGGGCGAGAATTGGGGAGGTTGAGACCTTGGGAGTGAAACCTTGGGCAGAAAGTTGGGGGCGGAAGCATTGGGGCCATCAGCATCAGGGGCGGGAACAGGCCATGATTACCTCCTGGTCAACACGGTAAAAGGCCAGCATTACCTCCTGGTCAACGCGGTCAAAGGTCAGCATTACCTCCTTGTCAACGCGGTCAAAGGCCAGCGTGGCGTCGTCTATCTCCTTCCACATCGCATTCGCCTCCTCCACCAGGTTCTTCTTCCGCTCCTGCTTCTTAGCCACCAGCGCCACCACATGGGTCTGGAGGGGTGACACGGTCAATGGGGTCAAAGGCCAGCAAGAGTGTGAAACAGAACACAAGTCATGCTCTTCTTCCTCCTTCCACATCACATTCGCCTCCTCCACAAGGCTCCTCTTCCGCTCCTGCTTCTTCGCCACCAGTGCTGCCACATGCATCTGAAGGGGTGGGCGGGAGGGGTAGTACACTCACAAGCCTTATTCTTCTTTCTTTCCGTGCCACGTGTGACTAATGGGGTGTGACGAAATGGAACCGAGATGGAAGGTCCAGGGCAGAAACAGAAGAAAACAAGAAAAAACGCCCACCTGGAACTCCTCGTCACTCATGTCAGCCAGCTTGCTCTCAGTTACCTTTGAATCAGACAGAAAATGCCATCCTCACATTTTCTCTCAGCCCAGCCCACCTGGAACTCCTCTTCGCTGATGGTCGCCAGCTTGCTCTCAGCTGCCTGCAGAAATGCCTCCACCCGCCCGTCCAGGTCGCTGGCAGACTGCAGATTGGCGGTGGGGGTGGTGGTGGGGTGGTGGTGGGGGTGGTGGTGGTGGTGGGGGGGGGGGGGTGCGGAAAATGGGCAAGGAGAGAACGAGAGGAGAGAGATAAAGGGAAGTAAGGACACCTTGCTCTCAGCTACCCGCAGGAATGCCTCCAGCCGCCCGTCCAGGTCATAGGCAGACTGCAGATTGGCGAGAGGGAACGAGGCACATAAGGGCAAGGAGAAGGGGGGGGAGGCAGAAAGAGAGGGGAGGGAGTGGGGGGAGGGGAGTGATGACAGCTTGAGTGGGGGGAGGGGAGTGATGACAGCTTGCTTTCAGCAGCCTGCAGAAGTGCCTCCACCCACCCGTCCAGGTCGCCAGTTGACTGCACCGTATGGCGGAAAAGGGGAGAGACACGGATCTGCGGGTTTAGCAAGAAGGAAAAGCAGTCGTGTACGAAAATCTGCGGACACACTTCCAATGAGCAGCGGAAGTAGGGAGCAGGTTTAGCAAGAAGGAAAAGCAGTCGTGTACGCAGATCTGCGGACACACTTCCAGTGAGCAGCGGCAGTAGGGAGCAGGTTTAGCAAGAAGGAAGAGCAGTCGTGTACGCAAATCTGCGCACACACTTCCAGTGAGCAGCGGTAGTAGGGAGCAGGTTTAGCAAGAAGGAAGAGCAGTCGTGTACGCAGATCTGCGGACACACTTCCAGTGAGCAGCGGCAGTAGGGAGCAGTTTTAGCAAGAAGGAAGAGCAGTCGTGTATGCAAATCCGCGGACATAGTTCCAGTGGGCAGCGGTGGTGGGGAGCAGGTGTAGCAAGTAGCCATGCAGGTTAAGGGCAGATGGGGTGTGGCAAAGCAAGAGGAGTGGAATAGGGGGAGAGGAAGGACTTGCCTTGACGTTTGACTGGATGATGAATGTGATGCCGTGAACCGCATTCTCGTTGCTGGAGGGGCAGGGAGGACAGGGGGACGGTAGAAGAGGAGGGAGTTGGGGGTTTAGCGGGAGTTGGGGGTTTGACTGGATGATGAACGTGATGCCATCCACCGCGTTCTCATTGCTGGGGGGACAGGGAGGACAGGAAGACAAGGGAGGCAGTGGAAGAGGGATGGTTAGGAGATTTGGTCCAAAGAGCAGCGGCGGGCAAAGTGGAAGTAGTAACGGGAGATTCTGGTTGGAAGAAAGCGGGTAAAAAAGGTCTCACCCAGTGGCTCTCACCCCCCCCAGTCTCACCCCACCGGGTCTCACCCTCCCGGATCTCACCCCCCGGGTCTCACCCCAATAGACTGCACCAGCAGCTGTGGCACCACATGGATGCCACATGGCATACTTACGCACGGTAGAACACGCCCCTCTCCAGCACCTGCACCTGCAGCTGCGCAAGAAGCTGTGGCACCACATACCATGCATGTCGCCGCATGGCAGGTGGCACACCCACCTTTGCAAAAGAGGCATAGCACTTACCGTGCCATGAGAAAACAATGTATCCAAGCTGCTGCACAGTGCGCAGCTCGTAGAACACGTCCCTCTCCAGCACCTGCACCAGCAGCTGCCCCGGATGCTGTGGCACCACAAGCCAAGCCACCACTGGCCAGGCATTCCGCCACATGGCACGTGACACACATACCAGGCACAGAACTTACCGTGCCATGAGGAAGACGATGTATCCCAGCTGCTGCACCGTGCGCAGCTCGTAGAACACGTCCCTCTCCACCACCTGCACCAGCAGCTGTGCCACCACGTGCGCCCGCACCCGCACCCCCTCCCCCTCACTCACTCCCTGCACACGCGCTCCCTGCCCCCCCTCTCCCCCTGCCTTCCCACTTGACCCACAGGTCCCGTTGCTCCGCTCTCCGTCTCCTGCGACCCCACCCTCCGCCGCTCCCTCTGCCTTGCCCTCTCCATCATCCCCTGTGCTGTCCGCTGTTGCAGGGAGGAGGGCTGTCTCGCCATCCTGACACACCTGCGGTAGCATTCGAAGGTCGACAGGGGTGAGCAAAGGTAGAGAGGGGTGAGAGAAGGTGGAGGATGGAGAAATGGCTGCAGATGGGAAGAAAGTCACAGACTGTCACCCTCAACTCCTTTTCCCCTTGTAAAAAAATATTTATATCTCTATCATCCTGTGATGGGTGACACCCCACATACCATATGGTCGACATGGGTTCACCCACCAAGACCACCTGTGAGGGCTGCAAACGTTCATGTCTTGGCCAGCCACCTCACATGGCTAGTGGCACGGGGGGTAGTGGCATGGGGGGGTTAGTGGCACGAGGGGTAGTGGCACGAGGGGTAGTGGCACAGGGGGGGGGTAGCACGTGGGGTAGAGGCCCGGGGGGTAGTGGCACAGGGGGGGAGTGGCACGGGGGGTAGTGGCACGGGGGGTAGTGGCACAGAGGGTAGTGGCACGGGGGGTAGTGGCACAGAGGGTAGTGGCACGGGGGGTAGTGGCACAGAGGGTAGTGTCACGGGGAGTTGTGGCACGGGGGGTTGTGGCACGGGGGGTTGTGGCACGGGGGTAGCGTCACAGGGGGTAGTGTCACCTGGAGCACGGAAGTGTTGACTGTGCACAGCTCTGGCCTCTGATTCCCCGGCATCTATGTCTTTCCACCTCTCTTTCGTCCTCGGGATCATCAGCAGCCAGCACGGCACCACTGCCGTTTCCCAGCCGCACCATGCACACCTCTGGCCTCTGAAAATAAAAAGATCCCTTCATCTCTTTTCCTTTTGTCCGACTAACCTTTCGGTAGAAAACGATAGCGGGGTAATGGGGTTGAGGTTGTCAGCAGCCAGCAGAGTACCACTCCCCACGCCAAGCCGCAGCGTGCGCAGTTCTGGCCTCCTGATATTGACCTAACCTTTTCCCCTCACCTCTTCCTCTCCCAGACCCTCTGACCTGTAGATAGAAAACGATAGCAGAGTTCTCGTCCTCAGGGTTCAGGTTGTCAGCAGCCAGCACGGCAGCGCTGCTGTCTCCCAGCCGCACCATGCGCAGCTCTGGGCGCTGTGGCGGCACGGGGGGCACTGCTGCTGCCAGCGGGCTGGAGCGCAGGCGAGATTCGGTCTCTTGGGCAAAGGCTATTGCTGCTGTGGGGGCGAGGTTGCCTGGAGGCGGAAATGGGGGAGTGGGGATGGGGGAGGGGGAGATGTTTGGGCGCGGCTCTGAGCGCTGCGACGGCACGGGGGGCATTGCTGCTGCCAGCGGGCTGGAGCGGAACCCGGCATATGTTTCCCCTGCTGCTGTGGGTGCGATGTTTCCTGGAGGGGGGAATAGAGGAATGGGGAGGGGGAGGGGGAGATGTTTGGGCGCAGCTCTGGGCGCTGCAATAGCACCGGGGCACCGCTGCTGCCAGCAGGCTGGAGCGCAGGCGAGCCTCTGTTTCCTCGGCGAATGCCACTGCTGCTGTGGAGGCGATGTTGCCTGGAGGGGGGGGATTGGGGATTGGGAGCGGGGAGGAAGAGATGGTTTGGTGCAGCTCTGGGCGCTTCGACTGCACGGGGGGCAGCGTTGCTGCGAGAGGGCTGGAGTGGAACCGGGCGAGTCCTGGGCGAAGGCCACTGCTGCTGTGGGGGCGATGTTGCCTGGGGAACCAGGAAACGGAATCAACATTTCTTAAGAACACACCCGAGAGTACATTGGGGGGGGGGTAAGGGAGCCGGTGGGAAGTAGGAAGAGAGATGGGGGGGGGGCTGGGCAGAAAGCTGTGGGGGGGGTGTGGGGAGGAGGGGCATAGCGTGGAGGGGTGAGGCCGGAGTGGGTTGAATGGGAAGTGGCCTAAGTTGGCACCTTACGTTTACGTTGGTTTACGTTTACGGTAGTTTACGTTGTAAAGTTACGTTTACGTACGTGGGCCCAAAAAGGCTTCTACGTTTACGGTCTGCTAGAAAGTTTTTCACACTGCCTGCAATTTTTTACACCTCGTGTCGGATCTCAGGGGCAAGATCTGACACAAAGTTCCCAGACACGCGCTTTTGACACCCGCTAGGAATGCGCCCTCATTCCAGTGAACATTCCGATTCCCAACTCGTCGCAAGTGTGGCGAAGCTCCAACTCGTCAGGAAGCAAGTTTCGCAATGCACCCCGCAGAGCTTCCTATGAACAGCATCTGACATCCTCGCCTCCCCAAATACCAACAGATCTCCCCGTCATCGGAAACCTAGCACTACTACTTACCTAAGCCAATCCACATAGCCTAGTCGAAGTAGATTATACCCAATCCCCCTCCTCCCCGCCTGCCATGGATCCAGCGCCCACGTCCCTTGGTAATCCTGGAGCGAAATCACTATTACTCTCTCACGCTTGACAATTTTGCTCCTAATCCGCCACCTCAGAGTTTGAGGCATCCGTCGCTGGATACACCAGTGCTACCAATTGGTCGCTCGGTGTGTCGGCGGCTAAACATGTCCGCGCTTGCGGAAATCTTCTAGGCCTAGTCCCGGCAAATACACCACGTTGCAACCGGCATTCACACCTAATACAGGCTGCGTAGCTTCCGATTTCGCGTTTTTCTTTTTTCCGCGTTTTTTTTTTGCCCTGCCCATACAACTTTACGTAAACTTACGTGTAAACAAACGTAAACGTACACGTAACTGTCCGTTTACGCGACTGGAATGGGCGTAAAGTGCCAACTTAGGAAGTGGCAGGAAGAAAGAGGAAGGCGCATTGGCGCTGGAGAATGAAGAAAGTCCCTGGTCAGACAAAACAGAACAAGAAACTCTTCTGATATTAAAGCCAGTAAGCAGAGAAAGAAGGGGCACCTGAGGCGAAGAGCTCAAGGGAGACATGGGAGAGCAGCGAGGGGAGAAACGCAGAGAGGTGGGCGGGCTCGAGGGCGGGCAGCGCAGCAAGGTAGTCGGAGAAGTGCCAGCGGCGGTGGGCGAGCAGCACGGAGGCGGAGTAGAGCGCCTGCGCGTATGGCTGGTCATAGCGGAAGTTCTCAAACTCCCGCTGCTCCTTCTCCTGTGGAGAAAGAAGAACGAGGCATGGATGAGGGGAGTGAGGGGAGTGTGGGGAGTGTGGGGAGTGTGGGGAGTGTGGGGAGTGTGGGGAGTGTGGGGAGTGTGGGGAGTGTGGGGAGTGAGAGGAGTGAGGGGAGTGTGGGGACGAGGACCACAGCACTCCGCAACCACTTCGAAATGGGCGAATGCTATGCTGCATGGAACATTTTTTAGGCGCCTCAAAAGACATCAATACACGATGCTGCCATGGACGATCACCTTGATGACGTGGCAGCTCACCTTGATGACATGGAAGCGGTCAGCATCGACAGTGAATGAGACGAGGTGGTCGATGATCTTGGTCACTAGAACCAGCAGCTTGTGGCTGTAACCCCACGCTGAGATCTGCAGATAAAGTGGAGAGAGCAACAGGGAGAAGAGTGCACAGGGGATATGCAATGTTGATAAGGCAAAAGACGCAACGGGAGCATGCAATGCAACAGTGATTATCCGGTGCTGGCACGAGTGGGGTTATTGCCACCAGCACCAGCAGCTCGCGGCAATAACCTCACTCTGACACTTGCGGAGGGGGCGAAACGAGGAACTGTTTTCCAGTGGACTCAATGACCGCGTGCTGACTGCTGCAGGTGGGTGAAACTGCAGGAGGGGAATATGTGAGGGGCTAAGCGGCGCCATGCTAGCTGCAGAACCAACAGCGCATAGATTTCCCGTGACCTACCTGCTGGCACCAGGAGCCACATATTGATACGGCCTGTTGAATAGGGGAAGAGATTTGCCGGTTACCTGAATGCCGTGGACGCTTGGGACGATGGAATAGTTGAGCCCTGCGATCTCAGCGTCATAAGCTGCAGGTGGTGGCACGGGGTGTTGGTTGGGGAGGAGACAGGGGAAGCAGCGGGAGGGGGAATGGGAACGAGAAGGCAGGGGGATGGGGAAAGACGAGGGTGGGTGAAAGGGAGACAAAGCTAGGCGGGCATGGGAGGAAACCATGTGCAGAATGAAAACCGCATGATAGAAGTCTAGTCATGGCTAACGGCATGGGAGGAAACCCTGTGCAGAATGAAAACCGCGTGATAGAAGTCTAGTCATGGCTAACGGCATGGGATGAAACCCTGTGCAGAATGAAGCACACAAGCAGCCAGAAGGAAAGAAACGAAGGGCTGCCAAGAGATGACAGCGACCGCCCTATTAAGACCATACTAAAGTCTGCCAAACGACGAAGAGAGGGCACACCCTGCTGTCAAGGCGTACCATATGCGTTGAGGGCGTCTTGCAGCAGGGAGGCGAAGAGGCGCGTGAGGAGGGCAGAGCGGGGGGAGGTGTAGGCAGCAGGAGAGGCGAGCTGCAGGAAGAGCACAGCCTTGGGAAGGCCAAAGAGGGTGTCTGGCTTGTGCCACAGGCGCAGCATGGGCGTCTCGTGGATCACTGTGGGGGAAGACACCTGCAGATCAATCAGAGGGGGGGGGGGGGAAGGGGTAGGGGGGAGATGTGTGGCAGCATGTCAGACAGCCTTGCGGAGAGCAGAGAGGGTGTCTGGCTTGTGCCACAGGCACAGCATGGGCGTCTCGTGGGTGGCACGTGAGAAAACAGGAACAACGGAAGGTGGAGCGCGAACGAGGTAGAGCAGCAGTCAGGAGCGGGAAAGTGTGAAGATATCGACAACTGGAGATGCAGGGGCAGTGCTTTCTCACCCCTCCAATGCAGCCTGCCGTGCACCGTGCCAGTGGGATAAACGACGCACCTTGCCAGTGGGATAAGCGACGCACCTTGCCAGTAGGTTGAGTTAGGACTTCAAGGTCGGTGGGCACAAACTCGTTGGGAGCTGGCAGATGCAGATCGCAGGCACTTCCATCCGAGCCAGCAGCACTAGCCTGAGGAGCAAGGGCAGCATCCCTGCTGGATGCTGCAGCAGCAGCAGCAGCAGTAGAGGTGGATGCAGCAGCCACCGCAGCAGCAGGAGCAGCAGGAGGAAGAGGAGTCACGGCATTGGATGCTGCTTTCCACCGCTGCCATAGAAAGGGGAAGGCACAGGGGAAGAGGGAAGGCACAGGGGAAGAGGAAAGGCACAGGGGAAGGGGGAACACGAGGAGCATGACACGAGAGAAGGGGCATGAGAGAAGGGGCGGATAATGATGGACGACAAACAGCTCGCACGCCATAAGTGGAAGCAGCAATAGTTGGAGTGCATTGTGCGAGCTGCTGCTCGCACGCCATAAGTGCATCGTGCAATCTATCAGGCGGCAAGACTTTGACTCAAACATTCCCCCCCCCAGCCACTGCTTCCCCACACTTGGCCTTACACATTCAATGTATTCCCCAGCTACCGCTTCCCCCATGCCACCCATTTGCTGCCTCCCCCTTGAACCCACTCGTTGGCCGCCCGCTGCCGCCCGCCCATCACCTGCAACAAGTCATCCGGAATGGCCTGGGCGGAGTGCTTTGTCTTGTACCACCGCTCCTCCTCCGTTGCCTCCCCCTCAAACTGCTTCGACAGCCAAAAGACTCTGTGTGAAGGGGGGGAGGTGACGAAAGGGACAGAAGGGGCGGGGGAGGGGAAGGGGATGGACGAACGGAGGTGCATCCATTGGGCTCCTCCCAGTAGAGCGACCAAACTGCTCATTGTGTGATGTGAACATGTACTATTTCCCAGTGGTATTTTTTACGGATTTTTCTTGGAAAAAACTCAGAGAATTAGACTTTTAATGGCGTGCATCCAGATCCTCCCTTCCCCCCCCTTTTCCCCCCTTCTCTTTCACTCCACAGCATACTGCGCTAACAGCACACGCCACACATCACTCACTGCACGTTGTCGGGAGTAAGCGCTCTGGCCATCTCAGCCAGTGCATGGGGGTCAAAGTCTCGCGGCAGAGAGGCGCCTGCCAGCCAGTCCTCACGCGGGTACAGCTGAGAGGGGGAGGAAAAGGGAAGGACTAGAGATTGCAGAGAAGAAATGGAGAAGAATCGAAGGCCAAAGGAGAAGAATGGGAGCTCGAAGTTTGAAAGGCCGAGAGGAACGTGCTACTTGCCCGTAAGCAAAGATGAATCGACACATTTGGCGAGAACCACATGGATTAGGTGCATGCCAGCAGCGATGGCGGAGGTAAAAGCTGCTGCTTTCGCATGAGCACACGGACACAGAGCACAGCCGCATGGCGTGACTCACCTGCATGCCGGCAGCGATGGCGGACGTGTAGAAGAAGGGCTGCTGCTTGTCCTGGAAGTGGAACTTGGTGGCGCACACCGCTGCCAGCTGTGGCATGGCAGGAGCGGAGGGGTTGAGAGAGCGGGGGAGAGAGCAAGAAACAAGGGCATGAGGGCTTGTGATGGGGAAGACCGTGAGTCCTGGAAGTGGAACTTGGCGGTGCACGCTGCTGCGAGAGCTGGTGGATTCACGAATGGGGAGGGAGAGAGCGAGAACAGGGGCGTGGGGCATCAGGAGGGTGATGGAGAAGAGTCTGAGTCCTGTAAGCGGAACCTGGTGGTGCACACTGCTGCCAGCTGGCGGGCAGATTGCATGGGAGGAGGGAGAGAACTGCAGAGAGAGAGGGACATTTCTGGCCACGTTCTGGAACAGTCATGCAATAAGTAACCGTGGGCACGTTACCTCGTCGAATATCCACTTTTGAATGCCTTCCCCACTCTGAATGAGCCCGATGTACCGAAACACCAGCTCCACCACCTCCATTGCATGCTCTGCGTTCATTCGGAGGGTGGGATTGGCGGGGCATGGGATGGCATGCAGCTGGTGAGGGATGGTGTGGGGCAAAAGCGAAACACCAGCTCCACCACCCTCCAATGCGCATTCTGGTTTTTGGAAGGACGGAATGGGAGGGGAGCGGCATGGCATGGGCAGTGAGGGTGCTGCTAGTGACGGTGGCATGGGGGATGGGTGAAACACCAGCGCGACCACCTCCATTGCGTGCTCTGGTTGGTGCATGATGGCAGCAGAAGGGCAGGGAGGACGGGTGCGCAGGGGCTCCGAGAGTGGTGCTGGTAAGGAAAAATAACTTCAGCAAAGAGGGCATCGTAGTGTGATTGCTGTGCAGATACGCAGGAAGCACTTACCATGGCCTAGGTCAGTGAGATCGATGTTGACAGCAAAGAACGCATAGTGCTTGCTGCTGTGGCTGCGCCCCGCTCCCAGAGCCGTGGCCCACCCTGTGCAGCACACCGGAGGAGAGAGAGGAGGAGGATGGGGAGGGCAGAAGAGGAATGAGTTGGAAGGGTGGAATGGTGAAGCAGCCATGGAAAAGCGTGAAAAGCGTGAAAAGCGTGAAAAGCGGGGCGCAACGGGGGACAAAGGGAATGCGATGCACGAAGTGGATCGCGTGACGCAGGAGAAAGAGAGCAGTGCAGGTCTATTCTCCTGCCACGTCCCACCTCCCCTGTCCCCTCCCTCCCCCTCTCCCCACACTTTCCCTTCTCACCTTTCTTCTTGAGCAGAGCAAACAGCGAACCATGCCCCTCATGGCCAATGAGGTGCCCCAGGTAGCGAGAGGGGGTGGCACGGTGCAGGTGCTGGTCGGCCGGTGTGGGCCAGACCAGCTCCAGCTTGTGGCCCTCAGTCACAGGCACTGCACGCACCAGCTTCTGCAGGGAGGGAGAGGGGAATGGAAGGGGAAGGTGGGGGGAACAGAGTGCGGGGACGGGGCTGCAGGTGCTGGACAGCTGGTAGAGTCAGAACAGCTCCAACTTGTGGCAATACGTCACAGGCACTGCACGCACCAGCTTTTGCAGACAGACACGCGAGGGGAACATAGAACATGGGAAATAAATGGGGGGGGAGAGTGGGGAAGGGTGTGGCACTGTGACGGTGCTGGTCCGCCAATGTGGGCCACACGAGCTCCAGCTTGTGGCTCTCAGTAACTAGCGCTTCATGCACCAGCTTCAGCAAAGAGTGAGGGAAAATGAAAGGGGAAGATGGGGGGGAGAGAGTGGGGGGAAGGTGATGTACGCTCACCCTATGCTGGGGTCCCACCCCCTGCTGGGTCTCACCCCGTTTTTGTGGTGCACGCATTACGGAGCTAAGCCCAGGATAAGGAAACTAATTTCCGTACAGAAGGCAGCACCTTGGTGCATTCAGGACCGCAGGGGTCGCCTGGAATCTCAGGCTGCTGGAGCGACTTGTTGGGGATGAGGGCAAAGCGACTCTCCACCATGGCTCTCAGGGACGAGAGGGAGTCTGCGAGGGGGGGAGGGAGGGGGAGAAGGGCGGGAGGGGTGTGGGAGGAGGGGAGAAGGAGGGGGAGGGGGAGGGGGGTAGACAAAAGGATGATTTGAGGCATCTCAAACCACACTTGTTGGGAATGAGGGAGAAGCGACTCTCCACCATGGATCTTACGGATGAGAGAGTGTCTGAGAAGGTGGGGGGATGCCGAAAAGGAAGTGGGGAAGAGGAGGGAGGGGGGGGAAGAGGAACGGAGAGGCGTGGAAGGCATTGAGGAAGGAAGGAAGAGACGGCACGAGAGGACATAGGACCGAACGATTTTCCTGGCAACTTGAGAAATAGAATCCACCACCACAATGGCGCATGAGAACCCATAACCTTTGTCACACACCACGAGGTGCAAGAGGTTGGCAGAGTAACATTGGCTGTAGTAGGAGGAGGATGCATACGAGGCACGGAGGAGAAGAGGGCATGGGTGACACATCACCTTCCATAGACCACGAGGTGCATCACGTTAGCAGAGTGGTAATAATGGTAGCTGCTTCCATATGGCCCTCGCATTTGCCCCAACACAAAAACCACGATGCACGTGTTACCTTTGCCATACACCACGAGGTGCATGAGGTTGGCCGAGTAGTACTGGCTGTAGAAGGCTATCAGCTCCTGCCGTATGTCCCTCCCATTGGCTTCAGGCACCTCTTTCAGCGTCTCCAGGGATCCTGCCGTACCCATGCCCATGCCATGCCATTCCATGCTCATGCCATGCCGTGCCATGTCATGCCCATGCCAGCCCATGCCATGCCATGCCATGCAATGCACATTAATGCGATGCCATGTGATGCCATTGGCGTGCCAAGAAGCCCAATGCCATACCATAGCATGATCCATCCACGCCCAATGAACATTGAGACTTGCAAAGAGGACATTTAAAAGGTGGATGGAGGACTATGAGAGGGGCATGCACGTGGTGGTGGTGCGTACATGGCATAGTGCGTACGGCACGAGGAGGAATCCACAGAACTGGTGGTGAAAAATGCAGGTTGGAGCGCCCAATGCAGGTTAGTGCACACATGGTGCATCAGAATACGGCATGCAGCACGAAGGACTGACCAACGTTGAACTTGTAGAAGGGATGCTGCGGCGTGCAGAAGCTCTTTTGAAGCTGCCAGGAGTTGTGGGTTGAGGGGCATTGAGGACGATTAGAGACGAATTGAGGGGCGTTGACGGCAGAACAGGCACAGGGAGAGGGTCAATGGGCAAAGCATGACTTGGCCACAGTGAACAGGTGCATGCTGCAAGTGCACGGGGATCTGTGGATAAGCATAATCATGCTTCTGACAGCTGACGACTAGAATGAGGTGCCAAACATGCCGGTGTGCCTTACCTGGTTGATCCGCCAGGGGTCTGATATCAGATTCTTGGTGTGCTCTGAAGTGTTTGGAAGAGGGGCGGGGAGGGGAGAAAGGATCACAAGGCTGCAGTCAGGAAATCACAGATTGGTCAAGACTCACTAGTAAAAGAAAGACGCACGAGTCTATCAAGAGAAGGGGAAGAGTTCAGAGAAGGACGAGTGTACTGCATTGACAGAGATGGTAGTAAAGGTTCCTGGCATGAACGGAAAACGGAGCTTGGTACTTGAGTGCACTGTCAGCTAACATGTTCTTGTTGCGGCATTTGCAAGCCTCGTACCTGAGTGCACTGCATTGATCTCTCGGTTGGTCGCATCAGCTGACATGAGTGGGCCGATGAAGAACTGAGCAAACCTGCCACAGGCATTGCAAACAGACAATCACACATCCATGGGATTGCTAGCTCGGCCAAGGGACCTAGTAGATCAGGTACGGGCTCTAATAGATTGGCGATTTGAGGAAGCGACTGCAGTACCCAAAGAACATGTCAAGAACCCCCTTGCCTTCCACTGACCTGTCAAGGGCTTATCACGAACCTGTCGAGAGCTTATCACGAATCTGTCAAGATGTTATCACGAAACTGTCAAGAGCTAATCACGAACCTGCCAAGAGCTTATCACGAACTTGTCAAAGGCTTATCACGAACATGTCAAGGGCTTATCACGAACCTGTCAAATACTTGTCACGAACCTGCTAAACACTTGTCACGAACCTGTCAAACACTTGTCACGAACCTGTCAAAGACTTGTCTCGAACCTGTCAAACACTTGTCACGGACCTGTCAAACACTTGTCACGGACCTGTCAAACACTTGTCACGGACCTGTCAAACACTTGTCACGGACCTGTCAAACACTTGTCACGGACCTGTCAAACACTTGTCACGGACCTGTCAAACACTTGTCACGGACCTGTCAAGAGCTTCATCGAGGAACTCAGCCGCCACGTCGAACTGGTAGTTGGTGTTCTCCGCCGCCGTGTACGCGTTGGACCGCCCGCTGTGCTGCCATGATCCGAAGTGTAGGGCAAAGGAGCAGAGCAGAGAGGGGGAACGGGAGGCCACTGCAATGAGCTTGACAGGAGCCTAGCTTTTACTGCAGCATGCTGAGAAGTGGGAGGAGCAGGAGCAGGAGGGAAACGGATACGTAAGCTGACAAGTGTGAGGCAGCACGAAATGTGTTCCACACTAAGCGTTGCTGAATTGGGGGTAACTGAATGCCGGAATCACCTTATTGAGAAAGTCACTGTAGCTGTCCTCGATAGGGTACTTCTCGCTAGCGTAGAACAGCATGTGCTCTGCACAGGAGAAGATTACGAAGGGGGTACTGTGCTTAGAGTTCCCTGTCTGGCGCCAAATCACTCAGAAAACATGACAGGCACGGCGTTCTAGGCCCAAATAAAGCACCACTGGTCTCAAACTTGTGAAACGAATGAGCAGTCAAGTTAAATTCACGGAATCCCTGGTCGAATGGGAGTCGAATTCGTTAATCCCCCCGCTGAGAATTTGCAGCGCTCGCCCACCTAGAAAGTGCGCCAGACCAGGCGCGTCGTCCGGATCGCTGAGCGACCCCACGCCGACGTCCATAGCTGCAGCAGCCTGGAAAATGGAAGATTGAACGAAGAAAAGGAACCGGATGAAAACAGCCAGCGACGATCACGGTTGAACGCATTCCTGATCTAGAGGTCTAAAGAGCCAGTCCGTCATTCTAGCGTTTACTAATTCAGACGCGTTTAAGCGACGAACGCTAGTAATTCAGGCATTCGGAGCCACACACCTTATCGGTTTCGGGATCCGATATAAGCAACACGGTGAGCCCGTTAGGCAGCTCCAGCGCTTCATACTGCCGCTGGTCGCACCTAGGAATCAGAATTCCGCTGCTATTGCTCAAGCTGCTACCGCTTGGACTGCTACTATCGGCACTACCGCTCAACGGCGCTCCGTGAGGCGACATCTCGCGTATTGGCGTGGACGGAATTGCAGCTGCGACGGTAAGTAAACTGACTGATACCGTCAGGCAGACGAGAAATGGAGATCTGAGGGGCTCAGGTGCCATGTTGGGAAGGGTGGGGTGCTATCTCGAGAATTGGGTGTCAGGCGCTCTGCGGTGCTGCACTTATTTCGTCAACCTCGAGGTTCGGTTGGCAGAGAGAAAATTTGATAACAGCGCAATTTCCGGAACAGTAATGTGTAAACAGTTTTACGTGCTAAGTTTCATCCAAGCTTCACTTCTATTTGTTGTTCCACTTTACACTTCCTACTCCTAACATCCATTTCGAAAGGACTAGGCATAATGATTTTCATAAAACACAAAACATATCGTATGCATGGCCATCGTACAGAAACAACTATGGAACAACCTCGAGCATGGACGGCTCATAGCCCTCAGGAGCCTCGAATCCCAGCAGGTTCATGAAGGTGGCGGTGACATTGGCGAGGCCCGCATTGGGCATGTCCTGCCTAAACCGGATGTTGGCTGGAAGCCCGGGACCACCGATGGCAAGAGGCACCTGTGGGTCACAGTGGCAGTTCAAAATGGGAAACACAAGAGGAGAAAAGGTGAGAAGATATGGCATATCCTTGAGTGCATATCTAGCACATAAATGCTGGCGACAGGCCAAATGCTATGAGGGTGTATCCGCAGGTGTGTGTGTGAACCGGAGATCACAAGGCACTCACAGGGGCGAGGGTGTGCGAGGTGAGGGGCTCTGGCTTGCCATCGGGCCCGAGGATGGGCTTGTGCGTCTTGCTGTTGCGCTGCACCATGTCGTCACAGTTGCCGTGGTCCGCTGTCAGACAATAGATGCCGCCCACCTGCTCCACCGCATCCAATAGCTCCTGGAAAAGGGCATGGCAAGGGGGAGAGACACGGGCGGATGGGAAGGGGGAGCATGAGGGAGAGAGAGTGGAGGCATGAGCAAGGGCAGGAGTGAGGGGAGGCATGAGCAAGGGCAGGAGTGAGGGGAGGCATGAGCAAGGGCAGGAGTGGTTTGAATGCTTCACCAGCCCAGTGCATGCATTTGTCTCACCTTGACACTCCCGTCCACGGCTTGGCACGCCTCGAGCACGGCATCGAACACGCCAGTGTGCCCCACCATGTCGCCGTTGGCCAGGTTCAGCCGCACGTAGTCGTACTTCCCCGACAGAATCGCCTCCTTGCAAGCGGCTGCTATCTCCCGTGCCTTCATGAGGGGCTTCTCGTTGAATGGGCAGTTGTCGCTGGGCACCTCGTAGTAAGTCTCCAGCTCGTCATCGAGTTTCCCCGAGCGGTTGCCATTCCAGAAGAAGGTCACATGACCAAACTTCTGGGTCTCACTGTCGCGCGAGGATGGAAGGGGGTGGGTGGGTCGGGGGAGGGAGGGCGGGAAGAGAAGGCGCAAAGCAGGTGAGGACGAGGGGAATGGAGCAAGGCGGCCATCTCCCACGCCTTCACGAGCAGATTCTCCTTGAAACCGCAGTGGCTTCAAGGAGTGGGCGCTCTCCTTCACGAGAGTGGCCGCTCGACACCACACAGTAGTCCTCCACCTCGTCATCGAGCTTGCCATTCCCGAAAAAGGAAAAAGGTCATGTGGAACTTCTGTGTCTCACTGTTGGATGAGGGAGCGAGGGAATGTGGATTTTGCCTAAGGGGTCGCTGTTCCAGAACTGAAGTCACATTGCCAGACTTCTGCATATCAATGTTGGGGACAGGCGGGCAGGCGATGTTGGAGGGGAGTGCAGGCGGGGATGTGGGAAGGGTGGACACATCGTGCTCCTGAACCACATCAGCAAACCCCAAACCTCAAAACCCCGAATCTCGAACCTTCACCACACCACATAAAATTCCACACTCCATCACCCATTCCATTCCCCCACTGTCCTGCAAGCGAAGGTGCACGCGCCGTTCTTCACCAGGTACGACCCCAAGCTTTCTAAACCCCTGAATGCACTATTACTTCTCCTTCAATCCCACGTGCTGTCCTGCAAGCGATGGTGCGCGCGCCGTTCTTCACCAGGTACGGCCCCAAGCTTTCTAAACCCCTGCATGCACTATTACTTCTCCTTCAATCCCACGTGCTGACCTGCAAGCGAAGGTGCGCACGCCGTTCTTGACGAGGTACTGCCCGGAGGTCTTTTCGATGACGGGCGGCGCGACGAGGAAGTTTGCGGGCAGCTTGAGGTCGCCATCGTACTGCATCATGCCCGCGAAGTGCACCTTGGGGTAGCGCACGCGGTCGAACTGGTGGAAGTCAGGGTACTCGAACGCCTTGGAAATCTGTGGAGGGGTGCAGAGGGGTTTGAAGGGGTTTTCAGGGGCACAGAAAAGGGTTCAGGGCCCGCACAGCGAAGTGCACCTTGGGGTAGCGCACGCGGTCGAACTGGTGGAAGTCGGGGCGCTCAAAGGGGTAGAAAGGGGTAGAAAGGGGTAGAGAGGCGGAAGGAAGGGACGGTGAGACTGTGGATGCGAGGTTACAGCACGGCAGGCGCCTTGGGGTAGCGCACGCGGTCGAACTGGTGGGAGTCGGGGCACTCCAAGGCCTTGGAGATCTGTCGAGGGGTTTGAGAGGGTTAAGAAGGGTTCGTACGGGTTTGCATGGGTAAGGCCTTGGAGATCTGTGGAGCGGAGGGGTTTCAGTGGGGAGAGGGATGGAAGATGGTAGTCAGGCGGCGAGGTTCCTGTCAACTTCTGACCTGCCAGGCAGCTTAGCGTGAGGCACGGCGGGTAGTACTACTTGTCCATGCTCGGGTTAACCCTACCTCGCCACACCAGGCACCTCCCAGCCTCGCCACAGCAGACACCTCCCAGCCTCGCCACAGCAGACACCTCCCAGCCTCGCCACAGCAGACACCTCCCAGCCTCGCCACAGCAGGCACCTCCCAGCCTTGCCACACCAGGCACCTCCCAGCCTCGCCACACCAGGCATCTCACTGCCTCGCCACACCAGGCACCTCCCAGCCTCGCCACACGTCGCTGCACGCCACAGCAGGCTCACCTGAATGACGCGATCAGCGCGGAAGTTCCAGATGACGACAGCGTCGCCGTCCACGATAGGCCCCACGGGCTTGCCGTCGTCGTCCACCACCACCCACGGCGGGTAGTACTGGTCGTTCACAGAGGGGTCGTCCTCCTTGATCTTCTTCAGCGCCTCGAGGGCCGACTTGAACTTGAACGGCGCGTCGCCCAGCACGTGCGCGTGCCATCCGCGCTCCACGATATTCCAGTCCGCCTGGGGAGGGGGAGAGGGGGGAAAGGGGGTGGTGATGCGGGGGGGGGGGGGGGGGTTTGGACCCGGAAACATTGCGGCCCACCCTTTAAAACCATGTTCCACTGCCTGCAGTGTAAGTACTCACCCATCCCATCTATAGATTCCCATCCACAGATTCCCATCCACAGATTCCCATCCACAGATTCCCATCCACAGATTCCCATCCACAGATTCCCATCCACAGATTCCCATCCACAGATTCCCATCCACAGATTCCCATCCACAGATTCCCATCTATAGATTCCCATCTATAGATTCCCACCTATAGATTCCCATCTATAGATTCCCATCTATAGATTCCCATCCATAGATTCCCATCCATAGATTCCCATCTATAGATTCCCATCCATAGATTCCCATCCATAGATTCCCATCCATAGATTCCCATCCATAGATTCCCATCCATAGATTCCCATCCGGTACTACCAGATGATGAGAATCCAAGTGGGCCATCCAAGTGGGCGAGATGATTCTCTGTTCGGCTCCATCATTCGCTTCGCTGCGTTATCCGCTACAATGACGAAGTGTGCACACCATCGATGATGAAGTGTATCATTCGCGACGTCATTCCCTTACGTCTCTTCAAGTCAAATCCCGTCGCTCAACTAGTCACTTCGTCGCACAGACGGACCACTCACCTCGTATCGGTCCATCGTCACGCGCATGCGACCGCCGCCAGAGGCGATCTTGGCGTCGCAGCCCTGCCCCCTGAGCAGCTCGAGGTCCTTCTCCAGCTGTGCGACGAACTGCAGCGACGACCCGTCCGGCACATCACGGCCGTCCGTCAGCACGTGCACGCGGATGCGCTTCGCGCCGTGCTCCCACGCACCGTGGATGGTCCCGATCACCTGGTCGTAGCGCGAGTGCACCCCGCCGTCGCTGCGACACACGGGCGGGAGTCGCGGCAGCGATGAGGGCAGTAGAGGTGGGTCAGGGGAGATGGCGGAAGGAGGATGCGACCAGCGACAGGCAAGGGTGAATGCAGGCGATGCAAAGCGGATCTGACACAATAGCCAGCGAAATCAGCGCTAGTCGGCCAAGATTCACGAAACGGATAGATGAATCTGGAAAAAGTCGGCCCGATCATATGACTTTCCGATCAAACACATCGCATGCCCACAGAGAACACCTGTCGGGCGCCCACCTGAGCAGCCCGAGCATGTGGAACGTGCCGCCGTTGACCCACGCCTCCTTGACGTAGTTAAAGCCCGGGCTTTTGAACATGTCGCCCGACTCCAGAGCGCGGTCCACCAGAGCCGCTCTGCACGGAGGAACGGCGGGAGATTCAGTTGAGAGCAAAGGAAGGTTGAGATGCACATGGGGAGGAATCCGATCCCACGTCTCCTTGATGTAGTGACTTTAGAGTCGACAAAAAAACCAGGGCCCTTGAACATGCCGCCCGACTCCAGCGCGCGGTCCACGAGAGCCGCGCTGCACGGAGGAATTCCGGTGAAAGGCGGAAGATTCAGACAGGGGGGGAAAAAAAGAGGAGAAACGGTCCAGATACAAAAGAATGAGATCGGATCTCCAGTTAGGAATGGCGGATCTGGAAATTTGGACGAAAAGACAAACGCATAAACGAGACGACAGACAGACGACGGATCTCCCCCTCTTCAAGCACCCCGCTCACCCTTGACCTTGGAACTTGATTTGCGTGTAGTCATCTTTCTAATCCTTGGACCCGGTGTTACCCCTCTTCGAGCACCCGACGTACCCTTGGTCGATGACCTTGCCGGCGCCCATGGCGTTGTGCCCGACCTCGGAGTTCCCCATGTCGCCGTCGCTCGGCAGCCCCACGGCCTTGCCGTGCGCCTTGATGGTGCGCCAGCGGTCGGGGCGGAACTCGCGCAGCGCCTTGATGTGCGGGCAGTTGGCCTTGTAGATCGCGTTATAGTCGTCCTCGACATTCTCGCCCCACCCGTCGAGGATCATGAGCACGAGCGGCTTCCCGCGGGGAATCACGGGGTGCGGCTTCAGCTCCCATTCGCCCTCGTTCACCATGGTTCTTGGGAATAGATCTCGCGGGGAGCGAGGCGTGAGCGTAGGAGAAGGAGAAGCGGACCGATCACTCGTGCCAACGCGACCCGAGAGGGTAGAACAGGCGAGGGGAGGAAAAGCCTTGAGAGCTGAAGTCTTGATCTGAGCTTGAGCAAGGCACAAGCGGCGAGCTTTGAGCCGCAGGAGTGCAAGCATTGGGACTGCCGCGCGCGAAAAAGATCCCCCGGGCTCTGGTGATCGGGGAAGATGCAGCGGGCGGAAGCGGAAAAGGGAAGCGCCAGTGCGCCAATGACAAGATCCAGCCGACGGAAGCGGAAAATAAATGGGCGGGTGCGCCAATGAACTGAAAATGCAGCAGAGCGGAGGCGGTGGCATGGGGAATAGGGGGAAACCGAGGGGGGGAATGATGGGTATGGGGGACATCTGACAGAGGCTGCGATTGGTGCGTCGGAGCTGGAAACCCGAGAAAGAAAATTCGCTTTTGTCGTCCGGATTTCGCAAGAGCAATGGATGGCCAGGAAGAGAGAGCGAACGGTACACCATTCGGCGAATCTTTGGAGAGAAATGCCTAGTGTCCCGGAAAAATGGCAGCGACCAATCAGACTCCAAAGAACATGGATCTGAGAACATGGAAAGGCATGTCATCATTGCTTCCTTTTGCCGATGTGCACCGATTCACCGGCAAGGGGGAAGATGTTTAGGCTGACGTGTCCCTCACTTGAGATATATCATTTCATGTTTCGCACATCTTATTCCAAAATCGCATCATGTTCGTCCTCGCTACTGGGTTTCCTCCCCCCTTGCCAGAGAACCAGGTTACCAGGCTACACGCACATACAACAGAAGCAGGGAATTTTACAAGGGTGCGCATTTGTCATAAATACGCGTACTATTCATTATAGAGTAATCCGCTAAGCTAAGAACGCTCAAATGGCGGACCATTTGTGTCCGCCATGGGCGCACGTGTGCCACGTGCTCCAATCGCTCGAGCAGCGCCGCGCAAACAGCGTCGTCACCGTCGACGACGACAGCGGTGCGACGCTCACCGGGTCGCAATTGGTCGCTGACGTCGCATGCCTGGCCAGAGGGCTGGAGATTCTCTGCGGCGTCGCGCCGGGAGATCGCGTCTGCATTGCCGCGCTCAATAGGTAGTAGCGCCGATTATTATTCCATATCTTGACATTGCTAGTCGCCGTCGCATTGTGAGGCGGCCTAGAAGGCGTGGTTGCCACTTTCGACTAGAGAGGCCTGCCCACGCCGATCAATTGAGCGAGCGGAAATGGAAACCGAGATAGGTCGAGCCTTTTCCCAGTGTCGACGTTACCCACAATTCTTCAGAAAGACAAATTGCAGAAATTGGGGTGATTACTGGGTATATTATATTGTGACGCAACTGAAATAGCCCCTTCTTCTTTCAAAGAGTCGTCCCAACCACATCTCTTCGAATCCCTTCTCCCCTGCAGCTCGGCGTACGTGCAATGGCTGCTGGCGGTGCCGGCTATGGGCGCCATCCTTGCACCTCTCAACCACCGATGGGTCAGTCACACCGCTCCCCACTCTCTGTCACACCAACACGCCCTGCCTCCAGCCCGCAATGGCCCCTATCCGCCTCGTCAACTCACCGCTGCTTCTCCTCCACTCCGCATTCCTCCACTTCGCATTCCTCCACTCCGCATTCCTCCACTCCGCATTCCTCCACTCCGCATTCCTCCACTCCGCATTCCTCCACTCCGCATTCCTCCTCTCCGCATTCCTCCACTCCCCTCCAATGCGCTCACTCCCCTCCAATGCATCCATGCATCCTTGCTGCCATGCTGCCATGCTGCCATGCTGCCATGCTGCCATGCTGCCATGTAGCCTTGCTGCCATGCGGCCATGCTGCCATGTAGCCATGCTGCCATGCTGCCATGCTGCCATGCTGCCATGCAGCCATGCAGCCATGCTGCCATGTAGCCATGCTGCCATGCTGCCATGCAGCCATGCTGCCATGTAGCCATGCTGCCATGCTGCCATGCTGCCATGCTGCCATGCTGCCATGCAGCCATGCTGCCATGCTGCCATGTAGCCATGCTGCCATGCTGCTACGTAGCCATGCTGCCATGCTGCCATGTAGCCATGCAGCCATGCTGCCATGTAGCCGTGCTGCCATGCTGCCATGCTGCCATGCTGCCATGCTGCTATGTAGCCATGCTGCCATGCTGCCATGCTGCCATGTAGCCATGCTGCCATGCGGCCATGCTGCCATGCTGCCATGCTGCCATGTAGCCATGCTGCCATGCTGCCATGCAGCCATGCTGCCATGTAGCCATGCTGCCATGCTGCCATGCTGCCATGCTGCCATGCTGCTATGTAGCCATGCTGCCATGCTGCCATGCCGTCATGCTGCCATGCTGCCATGCTGCCATGTAACCATGCTGCCATGCTGCCATGCCGCCATGCTGCCATGCATCCATGCAGCCATGCTGCCATGTAGCCATGCTGCCATGCTGCCATGCAGCCATGCTGCCATGTAGCCATGCTGCCATGCTGCCATGCAGCCATGCAGCCATGCTGCCATGTAGCCATGCTGCCATGCTGCCATGCTGCTATGTAGCCATGCTGCCATGCTGCCATGCTGCCATGTAGCCATGCTGCCATGCAGCCATGCTGCCATGCTGCCATGCTGCTATGTAGCCATGCTGCCATGTTGCCATTTAACCATGCTGCCATGCCGTCATGCTGCCATGCTGCCATGCTGCCATGTAGCCATGCTGCCATGCTGCCATGCCGCCATGCTGCCATGCATCCATGCAGCCATGCTGCCATGTAGCCATGCTGCCATGCTGCCATGCAGCCATGCTGCCATGTAGCCATGCTGCCATGCTGCCATGCTGCCATGCAGCCATGCAGCCATGCAGCCATGCTGCCATGTAGCCATGCTGCAATGCTGCCATGCTGCCATGCTGCTATGTAGCCATGCTGCCATGCTGCCATGCTGCCATGTAGCCATGCTGCCATGCTGCCATGCTGCCATGCAGCCATGCAGCCTTGCTGCCATGTAGCCATGCTGCCATGCTGCCATGCTGCTATGTAGCCATGCTGCCATGCTGCCATGTAGCCTTGCTGCCATGCGGCCATGCGGCCATGCTGCCATGCTGCCATGCTGCCATGTAGCCATGCTGCCATGCTGCCATGCCGCCATGCTGCCATGCAGCCATGCAGCCATGCTGCCATGTAGCCATGCTGCCATGCTGCCATGCAGCCATGCTGCCATGTAGCCATGCTGCCATGCTGCCATGCTGCCATGCAGCCATGCAGCCATGCTGCCATGTAGCCATGCTGCCATGCTGCTACGTAGCCATGCTGCCATGCTGCCATGCTGCCATGTAGCCATGCAGCCATGCTGCCATGTAGCCGTGCTGCCATGCTGCCATGCTGCCATGCTGCTATGTAGCCATGCTGCCATGCTGCCATGTAGCCATGCTGCCATGCGGCCATGCTGCCATGCTGCCATGCAGCCATGCTGCCATGTAGCCATGCTGCCATGCTGCCATGCTGCCATGCTGCCATGCAGCCATGCAGCCATGCTGCCATGTAGCCATGCTGCCATGCTGCCATGCTGCTATGTAGCCATGCTGCCATGCTGCCATGTAGCCATGCTGCCATGCAGCCATGCTGCCATGCTGCCATGCTGCCATGTAGCCATGCTGCCATGCTGCCATGCTGCCATGTAGCCATGCTGCCATGCGGCCATGCTGCCATGCTGCCATGCTGCCATGCTGCCATGTAGCCATGCTGCCATGCTGCCATGCCGCCATGCTGCCATGCTGCCATGTAGTCATGTAGCCATTCCTGTGACTCCTCTCCTCCGTTCCTCTTCACCTCCTTCCCCGGCCCGAACCTTCAGAGCATAGAAGAGGCTGCGTCAGCGGTGCAGCAGGTGGGGGCGGCGGTGCTGGTGGTGGATGCAGCCTTGACCTCTCCCGTTGCCTCCCTCCTCCCCACTTCTTCTCCTCAGAGCCTGGGGGAAGCAGCATCAGCGGTGCAACAGGTGGGGGCGACAGTGCTGGTGGTGGACGCACACATGCTGCCATGGTGGGGCAAGCTGCGGCCTCTCTGCCCCTCGCTGCGACTGGGGGTGGTTGTGGGTGTTTGCGATAGCAGCGTGCACGGCTGGTGTCAATCTGGGGAACACAGCTCGTGTCCATCTGAGGAACACGGATCGTGTCGATCTAAGGAGCACAACTCGCCGTTGTTGCCCACACTTATCCCAATGAATGCCCTCATTCAAGCTGGCAGGCTGGCGATAAGCGAAGCTGGGGGCATCGTCCAATGTAGAGGGGTCACCACTCGGCATGCGACACCCTGGCCTCCTGCTACCTCTACCTGCCCTCCGGCTGCCTCCTCCTCCTTCCTCCACCACCTCCCCCTGCGCTCCTCCCCCCAGCAAATTGCTCTCCTCTGCTTTACTTCAGGTGGGTCCACTCCCCCATGTGCATGTGCCTGGTAGTCGTGCACTTCATCAGGCTCTGGTTGACTTATGAGTCGACTCAATGCGGGCACTAGTCAGTCCCATCCCCGGGGAATGGGAAGGACCGGGGAATGGGGAGGACTGGGGAATGGGGAGGACTGGGGAATGGGGAGGACCGGGGACTGGGGAGGACTGGGGAATGGGGAGGACTGGGGAATGGGGAAATCCCGAGTGGGAAATCCTGAGTGGGAACTCCGGAGTCGGAAATCCTGAGTGGGAAATTCCGAGTCGGAAATCCTGAGTGGGAAATTCCGAGTCGGAAATCCCGAGTTGGTACCCCCGAGTCGGAAATCCCGAGTCGGAAATCCCAGTGGGAACTCTCGAGTGGGAACTCCTGAGTCGGAATTCTGAGTGGGAAAATCCCGAGTGGGAAATGCTGAGTGGGAACTCCCGAGTGGGAAATCCCGAGTCGGAATTCCCGAGTGGGTACTCCCGAGTGGGAACTCCCGAGTGGGAAATCCCGAGTGGGAAAACCCGGTTCGGAATTCCCGAGTGGGAAATCCCGAGCGGGAAATCCCGATTCGGAAATCCCGAGTCCGAATTCCCGAGTCCTAATTCCCGAATCCGAATTCCCTAATCCGAATTCCCGAGTGGGAAATCCCGAGTGTGAAATCCCCAAGTGGGAAATCCCGAGTGGGAAATCCCGAGAGGGAAATTCCGAGTGGGAACTTCCGAGGGGGAACTCCCGAGTTGGAAATCCCGAGTCGAGTGGGAAATCCCGAGTGGGAAGCCCCAGTCAGCCATGGTCCATTCCATTCGTGGCCCATCCATCCATCCATCCATCCATCCATCCATCCATCCATCCATCCATCCATCCATCCATCCATCCATCCATCCATCCATCCATCCATCCATCCATCCATCCTTCCATCCATCCATCCATCCATCCATCCATCCATCCATCCATCCATCCATCCATCCATCCATCCATCCATCCATCCATCCATCCATCCATCCATCCATCCATCCATCCATCCATCCATCCATCCATCCATCCATCCATCCATCCATCCATCCATCCATCCATCCATCCATCCATCCATCCATCCTTCCATCCATCCATCCATCCATCCGTCCATCCATCCGTCCATCCATCCCCACTGGGCCATTATTGTACCCCACCCAGGTACCACGGGTACTCCCAAGGCAGCAGCTCACACGTTGATCAGCACACACCCATCTCCAGGCCTCACAACCCCGCCCATGCGCATCCATGGCCCATCCTTCCCTATACCCCTCCCTGTCACCACTGCACCACGGGCACTCCCAAGGCAGCAGCCCTGTCCCACACGGCGCTCATCACACACCCATCTCCAGGCCTCACAACCCCGCCCATGCATGCCCCATCCCTCCCTGTTTCCCTCCCGGCACCCCTCTCTGCCCCACCCAGGCACCACGGGTACTCCCAAGGCGGCAGCCCTGTCCCATACGGCGCTCATCACACAGTCCATGGCCAAGATGGCATGCGCTGGGTACAAGCACGATGATGTACGTGCGAGGTAGATAGGGGTGGGGGGTTAGGGGGGTTACAAGCATGATGATGGACGTGCGAGGTAGATAAGGGTTTTAGGGGGGGGGTGGGCAGGCATGATCTTGTGATGAGCTGTGTGAGTGAGTGACCCTGCGTTCCAAGCACATTTTCCTCCCCTCGTTCCCATTCGTTGCTTGGCTTCATTCTACTCTTCATCTCACTTAACTACTCTATGTCCTACAAAATCCTTTTTCTCCCCCCCATTCCTCCTCTGTCTCCCTCCTCCCTTCCTGCATCAGGCCCCCCCAGCCATGCCTACCACTTGTGGTCGCAACACCCTACCCCTCTCCCCCCCCCCCATTCCCTCCCTTCTTCCCCCCCTCTCTCCCTCCAGATATTTCTCCACGTGGGCCCCGTCTGCCACATTGGCGGCATCTCCTCCATCCTCGCCATGCTAATGGCTTGTGGCCGCAACATCCTCGTGCCTTGCTTCCTCCCCTCTCTCCAATGCCCTGCCCCTCTCTCCCCCCCTCCCAGACCTTTCTTCACGTGGCTCCTCTATGCCACATCGGCGGCATCTCCTCCCTCCTCGCCATGCTAATGGCATGTGCTCGCAACATACTCGTGCCTCGCTTTCTCCCCCACCACCTCCCTCGCCTCCTCTCCCTCCACCGCATCACAGCCCTTATAGCCGTGCCAGCAATGCTTACAGACCTAGTGGGCACTTGCAGTGGCAAGCAGCCAGGGGCACCAGGTGAGTTCGTCCCTCACTGTTGGTCGTGCCTGGGCTACAGCCCTCCTTTCTCAGTCCCCATCGCCTCACGGCGGTCACTGGCACTCGCAGTGGCAAGCAGCCAGGGGCACAAGGTGAGTACATCCCTCTTGTGACCATGGCTGGTCTCGAACCCACACCTCCTTCTCTCCATCATATCACGGCGCGCATTGCCATGCCATGCACTGTGCATCTTCTTTTGAGTCGACTCAAAGTCATCGCATTGCCATGCCATGCACTGTGCATCTTCTTTTTTTTACTGTCATCCTCGTACGCACCATAGCATCACCGGGTCCCTCCCTTCTCTCCTGTGCGCATGCTTGACAACGTTGAAGTCGTCATACCTCCTCTTTTTGAGTCGACTCAAAAGTTGAAGTCGTCATACCTCCTCCTTTCCCTCATCCCGTTCCATTTGCTCTCCTGCTTTTCCATTTGCTCTCCTGCATTTCCATTTGCTCTCCTGCTTTTCCATTTGCTCTCCTGCATTTCCATTTGCTCTCCTGCTTTTCCATTTGCTCTCCTGCTTTTCCATTTGCTCTCCTGCTTTTCCATTTGCTCTCCTGCTTCCCTCTCCTTCTCCCCAAATCCAGCCCCGACCTTCCCTCTCGTGCGCACGCTACTGGTGGGGGGAGGAGCCATGAGCCAGTCATTGCAGCGCCAGGTGGAGGCTCTCTTCCCCTGCGCCCAACTCATGATCGCATACGGTAACTCCTTCTCCTATGCTCTCGCCGTTAGCGCCTCCCCTCTCTCCCTTTTCAACTCGTCCTACTCACCATCCTATTCACCATCCTAACCACGATCCAACTCAACAACATCCTATTGGCCATCCTATTTGTTAGAAAACGGGAATTTGATTAAAGAATGAGAGAGGGCATACATGCTTAAGTACCAAGCATCGAAGAGGATTGGAGGGAATAAGGGGGAATCGGAGGGAATCCCAAGGGAATCCTCCCAAATCGTGGGGATTTCGGATGGATTGGGTTGGGATAGGTTGTTAATGGAAAAGCTACACCCAACCTTACAAGGTTTCATAACCCTAAACAAACAAATGAACTAGTACACAAATTTGGTGTCAACCAAGTTGCGTCCTAACTCCAACACACCCCCTAGGCCGCAACGTCGTAAGTCACAGAGACGCCAAGACCCATAGCACGGAAGAGACGGTAGCGATCACGGCGTCCGTGAGACTTGGTGAACCGCTACCGCGGTAGCGGTAGCGGTAGCGGGTAGCGAGTAGCGGGGAGCGGGTAGCGGGTAGCGGTGGCGCTGGCGCTGACGCTGCCGGTAGCGGTGGCGCTAGCGGTAGCGGTAACTCCGTTGCCCGCGGTTCCTTGTCCGCCTATGGTGCAGCAATTTCCTCGCGTCCTTTACTCACGTCTGCCTGCTGTTTCTTCCCCCTTGATCACATCGACAAGGCCTTGTGATCGTCCTGGCACAGGTTCCTCTCACCCCTTGTCAATATCAGGCACGTGCAAGCCTGTCCTGGGAACGCCTTTGAGTCGACTCAAAAGGCACGTGCAAGGCTGTCCTGGGAACTCAAAAGGCACGTGCAAGGCTGTCCTGGGAACTCAAAAGGCACGTGCAAGGCTGTCCTGGGAACTCAAAAGCACGTGCAAGCCCGTCCTGGGAACTCAAAGGCACGTGCAAGCCCGTCCTGGGAACTCAAAAGGCACGTGCAAGCCCGTCCTGGGAACTCAAAAGGCACGTGCAAGCCCGTCCTGGGAACTCAAAAGGCACGTGCAAGCCCGTCCTAGGAACTCAAAAGCACGTGCAAGCCCGTCCTGGGAACTCAAAAGGCACGTGCAAGCCCGTCCTGGGAACTCAAAAGGCACGTGCAAGCCCGTCCTGGAACTCAAAATGCACGTGCAAGCCCGTCCTGGGAACTCAAAATGGCACGTGCAAGCCCGTCCTGGGAACTCAAAAGGCACGTGCAAGCCCGTCCTGGGAACTCAAAAGGCACGTGCAAGCCCGTCCTGGGAACTCAAAAGGCACGTGCAAGCCCGTCCTGGGAACTCAAAAGCACGTGCAAGCCCGTGCCAAAAGGGGCAAGCCCTCCTGGGAACTCAAAAGGCACGTGCAAGCCCGTCCTGGGAACTCAAAAGGCACGTGCAAGCCCGTCCTGGGAACTCAAAAGGCACGTGCAAGCCCGTCCTGGGAACTCAAAAGGCACGTGCAAGCCCGTCCTGGGAACTCAAAAGGCACGTGCAAGCCCGTCCTGGGAACTCAAAAGGCACGTGCAAGCCCGTCCTGGGAACTCAAAAGGCACGTGCAAGCCCGTCCTGGGAACTCAAAAGGCACGTGCAAGCCCGTCCTGGGAACTCAAAAGGCACGTGCAAGCCCGTCCTGGGAACTCAAAAGGCACGTGCAAGCCCGTCCTGGGAACTCAAAAGGCACGTGCAAGCCCGTCCTGGGAACTCAAAAGGCACGTGCAAGCCCGTCCTGGGAACTCAAAAGGCACGTGCCAAGCCCGTCCTGGGAACTCAAAAGGCACGTGCAAGCCCGTCCTGCGAACTCAAAAGGCACGTGCAAGCCCGTCCTGGGAACTCAAAAGGCACGTGCAAGCCCGTCCTGGGAACTCAAAAGGCACGTGCAAGCCCGTCCTGGGAACTCAAAAGGCACGTGCAAGCCCGTCCTGGGAACTCAAAAGGCACGTGCAAGCCCGTCCTGGGAACTCAAAAGGCACGTGCAAGCCCGTCCTGGGAACTCAAAAGGCACGTGCAAGCCCGTCCTGGGAACTCAAAAGGCACGTGCAAGCCCGTCCTGGGAACTCAAAAGGCACGTGCAAGCCCGTCCTGGGAAACTCAAAAAGGCACGTGCAAGCCCGTCCTGGGAACTCAAAAGGCACGTGCAAGCCCGTCCTGGGAACTCAAAAGGCACGTGCAAGCCGTCCTGGGAACTCAAAAGGCACGTGCAAGCCCGTCCTGGGAACTCAAAAGGCACGTGCAAGCCCGTCCTGGGAACTCAAAAGGCACGTGCAAGCCCGTCCTGGGAACTCAAAAGGCACGTGCAAGCCTGTCCTGGGAACTCAAAAGGCACGTGCAAGCCCGTCCTGGGAACTCAAAAGGCACGTGCAAGCCTGTCCTGGGAACGCCCTTTTCTTTGTCTCTCACCCCCTCCATGCCCGAGCCTTGCCTCTCCCGTTTGCTCTTCCCCCACTCTCTTCCCCCTCTCTCTGTTCCCCCTCTCTCTCTCTTCCCCCTCTCTCTCTTCCCCCTCTCCCTCTCTTCCCCCCCTCTCTCTCTTCCCCCCTCTCTCTCCCCCCTCTCTCTCTCTCTTCCCCCTCTCGAACGGTCCGTCGTTGATGGGCAATCCTGGGTACAAACTAGGCATGCCGGATTGGTACAAACTGGTGTCTCGGCTCAGGTGAGTCTCCTATCGGGACCCCTTCTACTCTCGTTCGCCCTGGTGCTCGATCACTGCAAAAACAGTCTTCCCCCTCTCTCTCTCTTCTCCCTCTCTCTCTCTCTTCCCCCACCAGGCATGACAGAGGCAGCCTCCTCCATCACCTTTGCCACACCGAGAGACCCATGCATTCCACACCCCCGCCCGATTACCCCACAGTTCCAACTCCCCATACCCCACCCCCCTTTCTTCCCCCCCGCTCTCTCTCTTCCCCCACCAGGCATGACAGAAGCAGCCTCCTCCATCACCTTTGCCACACTGAGAGACCCAGCAGCTGCAGCGACTTGTGGGTCATCACCCACACCAACGTCAACAGCATCACCAGCATCATCGCCACCACCACCACCACCACCACCACCACCGCCACCACCACCACCACCACCAGCGGCATCATCATCATCATCATCTCCTTGCTTTGTTGGCTTCCCCGCTCCTCACGTTCAAGTCCGCATTGCCCCCCTTCCTCCGGAGGACCCTCACCCTCCCCGCTCTCATGACAACCCTCACTCTCCCCTCCCCCATCCAGACTTGCACTCCTCCCTTCCTCCCACCGACCAATCATCACCTGATCACAGGAACCCTTCAGCTCACATGCCTTGTCCTGTAGTGGGGGAGGTGCTAACCCGCGGCCCGCATGTGATGGGTGGGTACTGGGGCAGGCCAGAAGAAACCTCCGCTGCCCTCTCCCCAGACGGCTGGCTGCATACAGGAGACATGGGCTGGATCGATTTTTCTGGGCAGCTTTGGCTGCTGGGCAGGCGGAAGGAAATGATAAAGTCGGGGGGGGAGAATGTTTTTTGCGCTGAGGTGGAAGAGGCAGTGAGGGCACACCCTGCAGTGGCGGCAGCAGCAGCGGCGGGGGTGCCGGATGAAAGAATGGGCGAGGCTGTTTCCGTGCTGCTGGTGCTGAAACCGGGATGGGAGTGGGCGGGAGATGGGGCTAGCTGTGATGGCGGTGATGGTAACGATGGCAGTGCGACAAGGGCTAAGCGCGTGTCGTTGACTGACTTGCATGCTGCCTGCCAGCAGCATGGTCTTTCCAGGTAAGATAGGGCCAGCAACGGTGAGGGTGCCTGATGAAAAATTGGGGAGGCTGTTGCTGTGCTGCTGGTGCTGAAACTGGGATGGGAGTGGGCGGGAGACAGATGTAGCAGTGATGCTGCTCGTGGCAATGTGACGGTGGCGATTGTGGCTAAAACCGTGGTACTGACTGACTTGCATGCTACCTGCCAGAAGCGCGGCCTGTCCAGGTAAGATGGTGATCACCGTTTTGAATCATTAGCCTCGTGCATGTGAATACTAAGCGAGCACTCATGAGGACTTCAACTCCCCTTTCATCGCGCTGTCTCATGCCTCCCCTCCGCTTGGCAGGTACAAGCTGCCTAGAGTGGCAGTGGCCCTGCCTCAAGGGCAATCATTACCAGTGACAGCTCTAGGCAAGGTGAAGCGGGCAGCTGTTAGAGACGCCATTGTCACAGCCATGCAGTGCGGCGGGCAGAGTGCAAGAGCCAGGCTGTGATCACGTGCATGGTTGAGTAACTTGGCGACAAGGGCAATCATTGCCGGTCACAGCTCTTGGCAAGGTGAAGTGAGCAGCGGTTAGAGACGCCACTGTTACAGCCATGCAGTGCGGCGGGCAGAGAGCACGAGCCAGGCTGTGATCACTGATGATCATTGTGCACAACGTATTAGCTTGGCCACAAGGGCAATGAATGATCCCAGTCAGCTCTAGGTGTGGTGAAGCGAGTACCCGTCAGAGGCGCCACGCTGTGCAGGGGGCAGAGAGAGAGAGCACAAGCCAGACCCTGATCACGCCCACAAGAGCAGTCACTGCCAGTGACAGCTCTACGCAAGGTGAAGCGAGCAGCTGTTAGAGATGTGATAGTAAAAAAACCATGGACAGTACTAGTGGTGAACCACCTAGAATCAAAGCTAAATTGTTTTCAAGTGTAGTAGCTTGATGGTAGCAGTCACTACCAAGTATGGATGAAGAATGAGGAATGAGGTGCAAGAGAATCAATGTGGGGGAAAGTTACTGCTTGCAACTGAAAATCTGGCAAGATTGTGTACTAACGCGGAATCAGAAAGGCGAATCACTCAACCACCACAAACAGCCTTATGGAATGTATTTTCCTTTAGTTGTTTCTAGGGGGTTTTATCAGCCAAAACATTGTAACTTGTTTACAGGTGAAGTGACAAGTCTAACGCATCTTGCGCTTTGCGCTCCTTCCTAACATCTACAACAGGCGAGGGAACCAAATGAGCAGGCAAGCCCGCCTCCTCCTTCGCCTCACCCATCCTACCCTTACGCGCCTGAATCTCAGCATCCACAAACGCCAACACGGCTTCAATGTTGCTCCTGGACCTTGTCAGACCCATCAGACCAGCAACCGGGCCCATGCCCTGCGCACCCCCGTCAGCACCTGCACCAGGCAGCACCTGCCTGGACCCCACCCTTGGCATGGCCTGGGCTAGAAACTCCATTGCAGCTGCCACCACAACAGCAGGGGGCTGCTGCTGCTGCTGCTGTTGCTGCTGCTGCTGCACACCTGCAGATACGGCAGGGGTGGCAGGCACGTGCTCGTCTGCATGCTCCTCCATATCGTTCTTAGGCGTGGGCTGCACGAACCGCGTGTCTTTAGAGAACATCCAGTCCAGGGCCGGCATGCCTCCGTGGCCAGGGGAGCTCTTGGACGGCGGCGGCGCCATGAAGATACCACCTGGCGCAGCCTGATTGGTTGCTGCGCAAGCAGCAGCGACGGCTGCTTGGGTACCGTCTTCCGTGACTGATGAACCCCCCGCGCGGGCGAGAGGCTTCGGCGAAGCTTCGTGCGTCGGACTCGCAGCGCGTTTCGCCTGCTTCTTACCGCGCCGGGGCCAGCTTGAAGCATCTCCGTTATAGTCGCTCTCGTTTTCGTCACCTGAATGGCCGTCGGTGTTCCGATGCGTATCTACATCCTCCGTGCGCTGCCTCAGGGTTTCGTCTGCCGTCACTGCGAACAGCCGTGATTGGTCCAATGCGGAGCTGTCCAGCCTGGCAAAATCCACGTCAGAGCTGAAGAATTGACGGCTAGCCGCTCCAGAAGCCGCACGATCCGCGATCTTGCCGGCACCGACCGCTAGACCGGCACCTGCCGCCGGCATACCCTGTCGACCCGCATCCATGCACGCGGCACGCATATGTGCAAGCGCAGGGGGTGCAGCGCACATTGCGCCGGGAAATCCGCCGATCTGGTTGGCTCCGAACATCCCCAACTGTTGCATCGCCAGCTGCTGCTGCAGAAGCATCATCGCGCCTTGCGGCGACAGTTGCGGCGTCATTTGCGCGGCGATCTGGCGGAGAAGAATCTCGCGCTCCGCCAGCGCCGCAGCCTTCGCCGCCTTCGCCGCTTCCTCTGCCGCCAGAGCCGCTGCGGCGCGGTCCTTGTACGACGGCCGGCCGCGTTTGCGCGGCCGCAGCGGCTTGCTGTCGTCCTTGGCGGCGCTGCGCTTGGACCCGCGGCTCGAAAGAGAAGTTTGCGGAGCGGCGGCGGCGGCGTTGGCGATCTGCGACGCAGCGAGCGCGCGGAGGAGCTGCAGCTGCGGGAGAGACGTCGGCTCCACCCCCGCCGCGAAACCTGCTGCTGCCGGAATAGCGCCAGCGCCAGCGAGGTTCATCATGCCGGCGTTTGCGGCGGCACCGAAAGGGAGTTGGCTCGTGGCGGCGGGCCAGCCGGCGGCTAAGAAGCCGTTGTTACTGGTTGTGGAGCCGGGAAGGCTGGAGGAGAGGAGAGACGCCAGAGCCCGCTGGCGGTGCTGCATCATTAGTAAGAGCTCCTGATGCTGCGACGCTGACATGGTGAAAGAAATTTTCCAGCTGGTGAGGAACGACTAGAGGTTTTGAAGCTATAGAGTCTCTAATAATGAGGTAACGAAGGACCTGGATGTGTCTATGAACAGCTGAGAAGTAAATCTGTTCAAATGGACGAACAGCAACTAGCAATCAAGCAAGCACCTTGGCTAGGGGGAAGGCAGGAGGAAGGATTTGGTTAGGAGAAGAGTAACAAGTTGAGCTACAATTCGTGTTGGCGTTTGTTATCTGTTATTCTACTCACCTGCTTTATGCTCCCCGACACGTCCACGGCACTGGCTGTACAGTGCTTCCGTCCCGTCGTCCCCATCCCACCCGTCGATCTGGCGCACGCTGCCCGGGATCCTTGTGCTGCCCACCGCAGCTTCACGTGGGGCCCCTTCATTGTTGAGGCGTGGGTTGGTGTTGCGCGGCGAGCATGTTGCCAAGCAGCATGCCTGCTGCCGCTTGCCTACTGGACCATTCTAGAAACGGTGGCTGGCAAAGCTGCGCTGAGTCCCCTCTCTGCCCCACCTCGAAATTAAAAGCAGCTGCGTTGCATGTGCGCGCCAGCGTACTGTATCAAACAGACTGAACAACCTGGACAGGAGCAGCATTCTCCCACGCCTTGCCCTTTGCTCTTACCCAGTGGTCGGAGCGGGGTGTTGGCTTGGAGCGGCACTGGCGACGGCAACATTGGCTTGACGCGTGCGGCACTGCTTTTGGTTGGACGTGTCACGTGAATCGACATGTTATCGATGGCATGTGAATCGTGATGCTTGATCGGATGGAATCGATGGTCGAAACGTGGACAAATTTCCAAGGGCTTTGTTCGCCAACCACCAATGGGAGGGCTGGAAACTGCTGTTTTTCTTGTTGAATATGGGTGGAACTGAAAACCTTTCTCGCACATGAAGACAGCTGTTAAAAGGTTCTAATTCGGAAGAGATATAGAAGCAGGTACCGAAATGAAAAGACCGCATCTAATGTATCATAAGTCTATTTCCTTCGTGTATTTGATTGCACTCATAGCATCTACACTTCAGTCTTTGTTGGGCAGAAAACTTGAATCAGTCAATTATGATGCTGTTTCGCACTGCCAGCGCGACAGAATCAAGCTTAGCAAAAAACAGCTTCACGTTGTCCTGATGATTACTCCTCGTGCGTCCTTTTACGAGACCAAGGCAACCCTCATCAAAAGCATGCTGCACTGCTCCGCTCTCATCCTCGCCGTCGTCACCGTCTTGTGCTTCTCAAAACAAATTTCGGGCATCCCGTCGTAAGAAATACATGTAGCCATGGAATATAATGAATATTTTAGCAGTCCCAGGTGGTTCAAAGGCAAAGTGTGGAGCATTGTTACAAGTGTACACATGTTTTTTGGAGAGGAGACGTGATTCACTGGATAATGTTTGGCGTCTGGGTATTGTGCACCCCGAAATTTCAGTATATTATGGGTGCCCCAAGTAACTGCTTAGACAAGCTTGGCAAAAGCCCAACATGCACAGCTCTGCTTGGGGAAGCCAATCCATGCGTTGATAAACCTGCGCTGGATCGGAGGCGGAAATCGAAGTTTGTTTTTCCACGTGAAACGCTGAGTCATCGGTAAGATTCGCGGCGGTTGATCTCTTGCCACTGGTTCGTCGGTCAACAACAGCAGTTGACCACCATCCAATCTTCACCGTCGGTTGATCTCTTGCTTGGAATTTGCCATGGCCTTTCAGGCTCTGCTTCGAAGTTACATATGGGCATGCAAGATCTGTTGCCCTCCTTACATGTATATTCAACAGCCTGGTATATTCTATACATTATTTCCAAATACTAAGGGTTGTAACTGGTAAACGACGCGTACATACTTATCTGAATGTTATGAAGGCAAAATGGAATACGTGTGATGATTTGATCGACATGATTCCTTCCATGGGTTATGGTGGCTCGCGACGTTCACTTTAGTGCGGTTTAGTGTGGTACTTGGCATTCTCAAACGATTTTTTTTCTAATGCAAAGCAGTTAATAGGGGTTTTAAAGAGTATGAACGCTTAGGACACACACTCAATGCACGTTTTACTTAGACGGGTAGTAATATTTTTGGCAGCAGAGATTTTTTCCATTCACTCAGCTGATTTGCCCCTAACAGCCAACCACCGACTCAGTGGGTTTACCTGAGAGCAAAAAAGCGTTTTACATTCTCCAAACTACCCAATCATGTTGAACACAACTTATCATATCTGGCTTGTTGTACAAGCATGACAATACGAAAACGAGTCATACTTTTAGGAGCCCACTTTTCTGACCGGAATCTATTCCGAAGTCTCATCCCTACAATTTCTCCTAAGCGTTTCCCGAAGCGACCAGCGGCTGATCCCACGCTGGTGTTGTCAAATTAGGTCGCTGCTGCTCGTAAGGTCCGGGTCCTCCGGCTATTGTGAATAAAGCTCAGCTGGGTCTCATGATGGCGCATCGGGAGGCGGAATGCATCTTACTAACTGTTCCTGATGACGCTTGGACGCCGGATTTACGGCATTGGTCTCTACCGCGTTCCGCAGTCGAATTGGCAGGCAAGCTACTAGCACCCTCGGCTCCCTCGCTGTCAGGAAAACGGGTTTGCTTGTAAATAGGATCCTCAGCGTTTCCCGAGTGTTCCCGAAGGTGTTTCAACTTTCAACTTCCGGTAGGCTGTTATCAGTGGTTGGTACCGCTAGTGTGTGGCGTGTACGGAGCAACCGAAACGGAGATCGACGCCTCCATTCCAAGTGTTCGTCCTTGTATCTTAGTTGGATGAGAATGGAAGCGGAAGTAAAGGAAGGGGAGGGAAAGGAAGTGAAGGCGAGGGGAAGGGCTGAGGAGGAAGCGGGGGAGATGAGGAAGGATCTAGGGGGTGACGTGGAGGAGAGAGCCAAGGGAGAGAAGGAGGAGGAGGGGAGGGGAACGCAGGAGAGGGGAACGCAGGAGAGGGGAGGAACGGAGGAGCGGAAGGTAGAAGTTGGAGAAGCAGTGGGGGCGAGGAATGCAGCGGAGGTGTTGAAACCGAATGGAGCTCAAACGACGGAGAGTACGGAGGAGGCGTTAAGGACGAATGGATTTCAAAAGACGGAGAATAGAAAGGAGGCTTCAAAGGCGAATGGATCTCAGACGGCGAAAGAGAGTCAGGAGGCGAACGAGGCTGCTGCATCAGCTGTTCCTCCCGTTTCATCTGCGCCTCCAGTTTCATCTGCTCCTCCCGCTTCATCTGCTCCTCCCGTTTCATCTGCGCCTCCCGCTTCATCTGCACCTCTCGTTACCTCTGTGCCTCCCGTTTCATCTGCTCCTCCCGTTTCATCTGCGCCTCCAGTTTCATCTCCTCCTCCCGTTTCAACTTCTCCCGCAGTTTCTGTTGCTCCTCCAATTTCGTCTGCTCCTACCGTAGTAGCAGACTTAGCTCCACCCGACTCAGCTGCACCCGACTTAGCTGTACCCGAAGTAGCTGCACCTCAAGTAGCTGCACCCGAACTAGCTGCAGCAGAGTTAGTTGCCGTAGACAGAAGAGCGGCTGATACAGTTGTAGCAGAGAGAAGAGCGGCTGATACGGTTGTAGCAGAGAGAAGAGCGGCTGATACGGTTGTAGCAGAGAGAAGAGCGGCTGATACGGTTGTAGCAGAGAGAAGAGCGGCTGATGCAGTCGTAGCAAGCGCTGTGGCATCAGGTTCGGAAGGCAAGCTAAGTCGCCTAGGCGAATTGGAGCAACGGCAACAGAAACAGCAGCAGCAGCAGCAGCACGAGAATCAGCAGCAGCCGCCACAACAGCAGCCAGAGAAAAAGCAGCAGCAGCAGCAGCACGAGAAACAGCAGCAGCAGCCGCTGCACGAGAAACAGCATGTGCAGCAGCAGGAGAAGCAACAACCAGCCATCCCACCGCATGGCACTCCAATGACTCATGGGGGAAAGGGCGAGCAGCAGAAGCAACAACCAGCCATCCCACCGCATGGCACTCCAATGACTCATGGGGGAAAGGGCGAGCAGCAGGAGAAGCAACAACCAGCCATCCTACCGCATGGCACTCCAATGACTCATGGGGGAAAGGGCGAGCAGCAGGAGAAGCAACAACCAGCCATCCCACCGCATGGCACTCCAATGACTCATGGGGGAAAGGGCGAGCAGCAGGAGGCATGGGGAGGCGCGGGTAAAGTCAGCCTAGCTCCAGACAGCGAGAAAGAGCAGGAGGAGGCGTGGGGAGGAGTGGGGAAGGTCCGTGTAAAGCCAGACAGAGAGAGAGAGCAGGAGGAGGCGCGGAGAGCCGCGGGAAAGGTCGGATTGGTCCCAGACAGAGAGAGAGGGCGGCAGGAGGTCCGATTGGATCCAGACAGAGAGAGAGGGCGGCAGGAGGTCCGATTGGATCCAGACAGAGAGCCATCAAAATTGTCCATACAATTCACAAGTCTTTCGGTGGGGAAGGTCGGATTGGATTCAGACAGAGAGAAAGGGAAGGAGGAGGCGCGGGGACGAGTGGGGCAGGTCAGTTTAGACTCAGACAGAGAGAGAGGGGGGGAAGAGGCGTGGGGAGGAGTGGGGAAGGTCCGACTGGATCCCGATGCAGAGCCCAAGGCTAAGAGGAAGAAGGTTAAGCGGCTGAGCAGCATGCATGTGGTGCGGGGGGGTGTTCCCGCCGAAGAGAGGCTGTTTGGGGGGATAATGCTGCAGCAGCAGCAGCAGCAGCAGCAGCAGCAGTGGGTGCTGCAGCAGCGCGAGGAAGAGGAGAGGAAGGGGAGGAAGGGAGTGGAGCGGGGGAAGAAGGAAGGGGAAACGGAAGGGCGGGAGACAGGGGAGGGGCAGGGGGAGGGGGAGGCGGCAGAGGAGGAGAGAAGTGGGCAGGAGGATGGGGGCGGGAGGGAAGGCGGGGGAAAGGTGGAGGAAGGGGAGGGGGGTTGTGCGAGGGCCTGCGGGAATGGAGGTTATGGCAGTGCTTGCGATGGTATGGATTCAGGAAAGCGTAGTAGCGGAGAGAGAGATGATTCCGGATGTGAGGGAGGGACGTTTCCTCGTGCCGGGTCTGCTGGAAAAATGGATGAGGGGGGTGCATGTGGTGACAGGCGTGCTTGTGCTGATGGGAATGCTGGTGCCGGGAGTAGCGAAGCAGAAAAGAAGGCTTGTGGAGGTGGGGAAGAGGAGAGGGGAGGGGTGAAGGAGGGGAAGGAGGGGGAGGGGAAGGAGGGGAAGAGGAAAGAGGGGGAAGGGGTGAAGAGAGCGAGGAGTGGGGAGGGGAAAGGGGGAGGGAAGGAAAGGAGGGAAGAGAGGAAAGTGGTGGTGAACGAGAGGAGTGGAGAGGAGGAGGGAGGAAGGGAAGAGAGGGGGGAGAAGGAGGGCGCCTGTGGAGAGGGTGTGACTGGCTGTGAAGCTGTTAGTGAAACTGGAAGTGAAAGAGATGAGAGGAAGCGAGATGAGAGGATGGGAGATGAGAGGAAGGGGGAGGAGAGGATGGCAGAGGAGAGGAAGGGGGAGGAGATGAGAGAAGAGGAGGGAGCAAAAAGAGGGGAGAGGGTTGTGGGCACCGTGGGGTCCCAGGCTGCCCTCGGCCCTGATATCACCCGCCCCAGCAGCAGCAGCAGGGCGGTTGACCCTGGGAGTATTGAGGCGAGGCGGGGGAGTGCGCCCAGCAGGCATGGTGGAATCAACCCCAGAGTGAGTGGCGATGCTGATGGCAACGAGGGGTCCCAAGCTGCCCTCGGCCCTGATACCCACCCCAGCAGCAGCGCGGTTGACCGTGGTGCTGAGGCGAGGCAGCGGAAGGCGGCGATGGGGGACGAGCAGGGGAAGGGGGACGATCAGGGGAAGGGGAACGAGCAGGGGAAGGGGAACGACCAGGGGAAGGGGAACGAGCAGGGAACGAAGGCGAAAAGGAAGGAGCAGGGAGTGGGCAACCAGCAGGGGAAGGGGGCGAAGGGGGACGAGCAGGGGAAGGGGGCGAAGGGGAACGAGCAGGGAGTGGGGAACCAGCTGGGAAAAGGCGGAAGGGGGGACGAGCAGGGGAAGGGAGGGAGGGGGGGCGATCAGAGGGTGGGGGGGAAGGGGGCCGAGCAAGGGGAGGGGGACGAAACGCGTGTGGGTACGGAAGTGAAGGATGCAGTGGGTTGTGGAAGACGAGAGGGGAGGGAGGCGGAGGGAGCGGGTGCAGTGCAAAGGGAAAGTGAGGGAGGAAAGGGGAGTGACAGTGCTGGAGAAGGGGAGGTAGAGGGGGGCGTGGAGGTAGTGATTGTGGAGGCGGGGGGGAGAGGAGGGAGAGGGAGAGGGAGGGGAGGGAGGGGTAGAGGGAGGGGCGCGGGGGTGGAAAGGGGGAGGGGAAGTAGGGGAGGCAGGGTGGGCGGAAGGAGGGGGAGGGGAGGGGAAGGGGGTCGAAAGGGGGGGGGTACGGGGGAGGGAGTGGGCGTGGAAGGGGAAGGTCTGGGGAGAGGGAGGAGGAGGCGGAGGAGAGTGAGGGGACGAGTGAGGAGAGCAGTGGGGAGGACGGGGTTGGGGGGAGCAAGGTGGAACGCCAAGGGGTGGAGGGGAAGCGAGCTCAAGACAGCGAGAAAGAAAACAAGGGGAAAGAGGTGGAGGAGGAGAAGGAAGATGTTTTGAAAAGAGTGAGACATGATAGGAAGGAAAAGGGGGCGATGGGGAGTGGAGAGAGGGAGGAAGAGGAGGCTAGAGGGAGGGAGCAGGGGAGGAGGAGGATAGAGATCATGACGAGGGGGAGGAGGAAAAAAAGGAGGGGAAAAAAGAGGAAGAGGAGGAGGCGGGGAATAAAGAGGGGTTGGGGAAGTGTTCTAGGGGTGGGAATGAGATGAATCTTCGGGGGAAGAAGGGGCTTGAGGAGGAGGAGGAGAAGGAGAAGGAGGAGGAGAAGGAGGAGAAGGGGAGGATGAAAGGGAAGGCGCTGAAGAGCAAAAAGGAGGGACGGGAGGAAGACGAGGAGGACTGCAATGCTGCTGCTGGTGCTGCTGCTGTTGCTGATGCTAATGCTACTGCTGCTACTGCTGCTGCTACTACGTCTGCTGCTGCTGCTGCTGCTGCGACATCTGCTGCTGCAGATGGCAGTGACGATGACGCTGATGACACTGGTGGTGATGGCACTGACGACGACGACGATGTTCGGGTGGTGAAGGCAGAGAGCCAGGTGAAGCGGACAAGGGACCGGGACAGGGAGCGGGAGAAGGGGCTCCCCCGCAGTGATGTCATGAAGCTCCGAGCCGTGCGCCAGCTCAAGGGATTCGCAGGGAAGCAGGACATGGGCCCGGGGGAAAGCCGCTCGGGTATGTGCCATATGTATCCATGGGTATAAGCCCCCTGACGCTGCAAGGGGAGACGGTGCTCAAGGTGCATCGAATGCGAACCGCTAGGCCTTCTTTCGTCAAGTTTGTGACGCGCCACGTCATCGCGACGTCGGATAAGGGGCTGGACCTCCCCGGGCCGTTCGTGAAGCGGCACCTGGCGGGGTCGGAGCGGATAGCTGTGATTGGCCCGGGGGGGCGGAGGTGGGAGATGAGGTGGGGGGTGTATTCGAAGGGGGTGCAGGTGTACAGGTTGAAGGAGGGGTGGGGGGAACTGGCTGTGACTCTGGATATGCAAGAGGGGGAGGCGCTGGTGTTTGAGGTGGAGAGGAAGTTGCTCCTGCGGCTGCACCTGGTGAAGTTTGGCCAAGAGGTGGTGCTGAACACGAGTGAGGAGGTGCGCAATACCAGTGAGGAGGTGCGGAATACCAGTGAGGAGGTGCGGAATACCAGTGAGGAGGTGCGGAATATCAGTGAGGAGGTGCGGAATACCAGTGAGGGGAATTTGAATGGGAGTGACGGTGCTGCTGATGGTGATGGTGATGATGCTAGTGATGCTGGTGCCAGTGCCGGTGCTGGTGCTGGTGCTGGTGCTAGTTCTCCTGCTGCTGACTCAGGGTCCAAGAGTGAGACGGAGGAAGGGGGGCAGAGCAGGGAGGGCGCGGAGGCGGGTGATGGTGGCTTCATGGGTGGTGGAGGCAAGGCCAAAGGAGTGAAGCAGATTAGAGAGACGGGCAAGACGGTGAAAGAGGAGGAGATGGGACCGAGAGGCAAGGGAGGAGAGGGGAAGGAGGGGAAGGAGGGGGAGGAGGGGGAGATGGGACAGAGAAGTGAGGGGGCGGAGGGGAAAGGGAAGGCTGCGAAGGTGGGGGGGAAGAAAAGGACGAAGCAGCAAGGGAAGGATGGGGGGAAACGGGTGCTCCGGGAGTGGGACGACGAGGAGCGGAGGAGGGATGGGAAGGAGAAGGGTGAGATGGAGGGAGAGGATGGCGAGGGAAAAGAAGGGGGCTGGAGGAATGAGCTGGCAGGGGAGAGGGAAGGGAAAGGGGCGAAGAGTGTTTCAGTGAAGGTCACAGGGAAGTCGACAGGAAAGGGCACAGGTACGGGGACAGGAAAGGGGACGGTGAAGGGGGGAGGAAAGGTTTTAAAGAAAGCCAAGAAGAGCGGTGTAGAAGAGGCAGGGAAGACCAAGAAGCAACGGAGGTTTGGAGAAGGTTCTGGGTCTCGCTTCGCTTCAGCTGCTGAGACTCCCTTTCTTTCTGCTCCCCCTCTCCCCCCTGCTACTACCCCATCCCATCCCCCCTCTTCGTATCCAGCTCCCACTCTCCCCGCTGCTCCTGCTGCTTCTCCCCACTTTGCTTCTGCTCCTGCTGCTGCAGCCGCTGCTGCCGCTCCTCCCACGGTCCCAATCGCCACCACTGGCTCTGCTGCTTCTGCTGACGTGCAACCAGATTCTACCCGTGCTGCTGCGCCCCCCTCTCCCCCGCCTCCTGCGCTGAAGAAAAGAGCGCGAGTGCCTCCCCCAGGAGGGTGGAAGGTGGCTCGACTCGTCCCCTCCAGGCGACTCAATCCGCCCCTGCCTTCTGCTCCTGCTGCTGGTGCTGGTGGTGGTGCTGCTGGTGGTGCTGCTGGTGCTGGTGGTGGTGCTGGTGGTGGTGGTGCTGCTGCTGCTGCTGGTGCTGCTGCTGGTGGTCCTGTTTCTGCTCCCTCTCCTTCTCCTCTTGGTGCTGTTTCTGCTCCCTCTCCTTCTCCTCTTGGTGCTGTTTCTGCTCCCTCTCCTTCTCCTCTTGGTGCTGTTTCTGCTCCCTCTCCTTCTCTTGGTGCTGTTTCTGCTCCCTCTCCTTCTCCTCTTGGTGCTGTTTCTGCTCCCTCTCCTTCTCCTCTTGGTGCTGTTTCTGCTCCCTCTCCTTCTCCTCTTGGTGCTGTTTCTGCTCCCTCTCCTTCTCCTCTTGGTGCTGTTTCTGCTCCCTCTCCTTCTCCTCTTGGTGCTGTTTCTGCTCCCTCTCCTTCTCCTCTTGGTGCTGTTTCTGCTCCCTCTCCTTCTCCTCTTGGTGCTGTTTCTGCTCCCTCTCCTTCTCCTCTTGGTGCTGTTTCTGCTCCCTCTCCTTCCCCTCCCTCTCCTTCTCCTCTTGGTCCTGTTTCTGATCCCTCTCCTTCTCCTCTTGGTGCTGTTTCTGCTCCCTCTCCTTCTCCTCTTGGTGCTGTTTCTGCTCCCTCTCCTTCTCCTCTTGGTGCTGTTTCTGCTCCCTCTCCTTCTCCTCTTGGTGCTGTTTCTGCTCCCTCTCCTTCTCCTCTTGGTGCTGTTTCTGCTCCCTCTCCTTCTCCTCTTGGTGCTGTTTCTGCTCCCTCTCCTTCTCCTCTTGGTGCTGTTTCTGCTCCCTCTCCTTCTCCTCTTGGTGCTGTTTCTGCTCCCTCTCCTTCTCCTCTTGGTGCTGTTTCTGCTCCCTCTCCTTCTCCTCTTGGTGCTGTTTCTGCTCCCTCTCCTTCTCTTGGTGCTGTTTCTGCTCCCTCTCCTTCTCCTCTTGGTGCTGTTTCTGCTCCCTCTCCTTCTCCTCTTGGTGCTATTTCTGCTCCCTCTCCTTCTCCTCTTGGTGCTGTTTCTGCTCCCTCTCCTTCTCCTCTTGGTGCTGTTTCTGCTCCCTCTCCTTCTCCTCTTGGTGCTGTTTCTGAGGCAACTTCAGCAGCAGCAACAAGAGCAGAAGCAGCAGCGGCAGCAACACCAGCACCAGAAGCAGCAGCAGAAGCAGCAGCAGAAGCAGCAACACCGGCAGCAGCAACAATACCGGCAGCAGCAACAACACCGGCAGCAGCAGCAGCAGCACCACCACCACCACCAGGAGCAGCAACACCAGAAGCAGCAACAATACCGGCAGCAGCAGAAACAACAAGAACAGCAACGGACGGAGCAGCAGCAGCAGCAGCGGCGGCAGGAGGAGGAGGAGGTGCAGGGAACGAGGGAATCAGTGGCGAAGCCACAGGCGACGAGCATCCTTACCACAGCACACTGCTGTGGCTGCACCGCGTGTGGGCTGAGAGCCATGCAGTGGTGGCTGGACACATGGGAGAAGAGGAGGAGAAAGAGGGAGAGGAAGAGGGAGAGGAAGAGGGAGAGGAAGAGGAAGGGAGGGATCTGGGGAAGCGGAAGAGGAGGAGGGAAGCGGCAGCCAGTTGCGGGAGTGGTAACGGGCATGGTTACCGCTACGGTAGCCGCTATGTTGACAAGTATGGCTACATGGCGAGTATGTTTGGTGGGAAGAGGCGGAGAAGGAGGAGGGATGGGCACAAGAAAGGATCGTACAAGGTGAACTCCGAATGGCGCCTCTCCCTCACTGGGGTCACCATCGTCCCTCCCCCTCCCCCTCTCGCTCACCCTGACTCGCCTCCTCCTCCCCCCCCTCTCGCTCACCCTGACTCGCCTCCTCCTCCTCCCCCTCTCTCCCACCCTCACGTGCCTCCTCCTCCTCCACCTCTCTCCCCTTCCTCTCCCTCTCACTCCCCTCCTCCGCTTCCCCCCTCTCCTACCCTCCTCTCCTCTCCTCCTGCTGCCTCCTCTCCAAAACTTGCTGCATCCCCTCAAGCCCCTGCTGCTGCTCCTGCTGCTGCGGCTGCCGGTGTGAGTGCTGCTGGCGTGACTGCTGCTGCTGCCATTCCTGCATCCCCTAGCGCACCTGCTGCAATCCCCTCTGCTGCCGCTGCCAGTCCCACTGCAACCGCCTCACCCTCTGCTGCAGCAACAAATAAGGGGGGGAAAGCCGCAGGCAAGCAGGCAGCGAAGGCAGGGGGAGGGAAGGGGGCAGCAGCAAAAAAGGCAGGGAAACAGGCGGGGGAGTTAGGAGCAGGGAAAGGGGTAACAGCAAAAAAGGAAGGGAAGCAAGCAGGGGGGAGCCTCAAGCGGCGAGCAAAGAGCCTTGCAGACACCCCTTCTGATCTGGATCAACTCACTCAGCCGCAGGGTGCCTGTAGTGAAAGGCCTGGATCTCTTAAATCGCCTTCCCGGAAGATCGCCAAAGCACAAGCTACTAATACAGCTGGCAAAGCACCTGATAAATTACCTGGCAAAACAGCTGGCGAAACTGCTGGCAATACGCCTGGAAGAACTGCACCTGGGAGACCACCTGGGGCACCTGGGAAAGCACCTGCGAAGGTACCTGGGAAGGCACCTGGGAAGGCACCTGGCGTGAGTTTTGTTGGAGAGAGGGTGCCAGAGAGAGGCGTGAAGAAGGGCGATGGTGAGCGTGGGAGGGGGTGCAGTCAAAACAGCGAGGGAAGAGACTCTACTGAAGGTGAGAGGAGGGAGAGGAGCGAAGAAGATGGTGCTTCTGCAGAAGACGATGTGCAAGTCATAGAAACCGGCACTACAGCCACTACAGCCGCTACGGCCGCTACAGGCACTACAGCCGCTACAGCAGCTACTGCCGCTACAGCCACTACAGCCGCTACTGCTGCCACCCCCACTACCACCCCCGCCACCACCCCCAGCAGCAGCAGCCGGAAGGCATCTCTGCGCAAGAGCATCCGGGCGGCTGTGTCCACAGAGTTCGTGGGCGTGATGGTGAAGGAGCCTGGCAAGTTCCAGGCGCGCATGGTGGACCGCGACGGCAAGAGGCAGCGCCACATCGGCTTCTATGCCACTGCAGAGGAGGCGGCGCTGGCGTATGACGTGGCTGTCTTGAGGGTGCATGGCAGCGCGGCTCAGCTGAACTTTCCCGCGAATGGGGGGGGGAAGAGGCGGGATTCCCCTGAGGATGGGGGGAAAGTGGGGGGTGGGGGAGATGGGGGGGGAGGGGAGGGAGGGAATGAGGGGGTTGGTAGGGTAGGTCAGGTGCTGGGTGGGATGTCAGGTGGGACGTCAGGTGGGATGTCAGGTGAGCGGCTGGTGGGTGTGGATGGCTCGTTGCCTTCTCGAGGGGAGGCTGTTGCCGAAGCTGAGCGCGAGGATGGGGCCGAAGCTGCTGGCGAGGTTTGGAAAGGTGTACGGAATGCAGCAATGGACGGGGAAGTGAAAGGTAGTAAGGATAAGGAAATGGCCCCACCAATGCCACCTTCCCCAGTAATTCCCTCCCCCTCAATGCTACCTCCCCCAGTCCCCTCCTCCACTGTAAGCCGCAGGGTCAGGAAACGCCACCCACCTGGGCCCCGGCCCCCTGCCCAGACCCAACCTGGCTCCAGAGGCGCTGGACAAGTGCCAGCTGACCAGGTACTATCTCAGGTGATTTCACAGGTGGTGGTTGGTGAGGCGTTTTCTGAGGTGCAGGTGGGGAGTGAGGGAGGTGGGGTTGGTGTGGGGGTGGTGGGTGAGGAGGAGGAGGTGGAGGCAAGAGGTAGTGCTGCTAATGCTGCTGGTGCTCCTGCTGGTGCTGCTGCTGCTGCTGCTGCTGCTGCTGCTGGTGGTGCGGCTGCTGGTGCGGCTGCTGGTGCTGGTGGTGGTGCGGCTGCTGGTGCGGCTGCTGGGGCTGCTGGTGGTGCTGGTGCTGGTGCGGCTGCTGGTGCTGGTGGTGGTGCTGGTGGTGATGCTGGTGGTGGTGCGGCTGCTGGTGCTGGTGATGCAGTTGACTCAACGATGCAGAGGGCAGGGGCAGGCAAGGCAGCAGCAGCACAAGCGACAGCAGCAGCAGCAGCAGCACAAGCAGCAGCAGCAGCAGCAGCAGCACAAGCGGCAGCAGCAGCAGCAGCCGCACAAGCGGCAGCAGCAGCAGCAGCCGCACAAGCGGCAGCAGGGATGACTGCACGTGGAAGTGGGGGAGCAAGTGGGAAGGTAGCGGCAGAGAGGGAGGGAGCAGAGGGTGGGGACATGGGAATGGGGAAAGGAGGAGCCGGGGCAACAGCAGCAGCAGCAGCAACAGCAACAGCGGCAGGGGCAGCAGTCGCAGGGGCACCGAAAGCAGTGGTGGCAGTCGGGCCAGTGTTAGAGGATAGAGAGGACAGGTCGGAGCAGGGAGAGGGTGCAGGGGCCAGGGCCGCCAGGTGTCAGCAGTTGATTGGGCCAGAGAGGGAGAAGAGAGGGAGAGAACCGGGGGAGAGCAGTGCTGGTGCTGCTGAGGGGGGTGTAGAGCAGGGGGGAGGAGGGAGGGGGAGGGGCAGGAGCAGGAAGCGGCAGCGGCAAGGGAGGGGCGTGGGAGAGCAGTGGGAGCAGCAGCCGGAGAAAGGCATGGGGAGAGGTATGGGTAGAGCCATGGGTAGGGGCCTGGGTAGGGGTATGAAAGGGCTCAAACCATGGGAAAAGGAAGACACAGAGGACGAGTCTGTTTCAACGCCTCTCTCTAGTCACTATCAGCAGCAGCAGTCAACGCCTCTCTCCAGACAGAATCAGCAGCAGCAGTCAACGCCTCTCTCTAGTCACTATCAGCAGCAGCAGTCAACGCCTCTCTCTAGTCACTATCAGCAGCAGCAGTCAACGCCTCTCTCTAGTCACTATCAGCAGCAGCAGTCAACGCCTCTCTCTAGTCACTATCAGCAGCAGCAGTCAACGCCTCTCTCTAGTCACTATCAGCAGCAGCAGTCAACGCCTCTCTCTAGTCACTATCAGCAGCAGCAGTCAACGCCTCTCTCCAGACAGAATCAGCAGCAGCAGTCAACGCCCCAGCCTAGATCATCAAGCACCGCACTGGTCCTCCCTCCTCTGTCGCTCCCCCATCCCATGCGCCTCTCCCTCCCCCACATACCACCTCCCCCTCGCCGCCCGACTCCCCCACCCACCACCCCGTCAAGCCCCCTCACTCCCCCCCCTGCACCCTCTTCCGCACACCACGGATCCGGACCTGTTGCCTCCGGACCTGTTGCCTCTGGACCTGTTGCCTCTGGACCTGTTGCCTCTGGACCTTTTGCCTCCAAACCTGTTGCTTCCGGGCCTGTTTCTTCCAAACCTGTTGTTGTTGGTGGTGGTGGTGGTGGTGGTGCTGCTGCTGCTGCAGGTGCTGCAGGTGGTGGTGGTGGTGGTGGTGGGGAGGGGCATGAGGATGGTGGTGGGGATGGTGGGGATGGTGGGGATGGTGGGGATGGTGGGGATGGTGGGGATGGTGGGGGGTGGTTGAGGGGTTTGGATTTGAACGAGGAGAGTGAGGATGCAGTCAGAGAGGCACGGAAGGAGGCAGGGAGTGCTGGCACAGCAGCAGCAGCAGCAGCAGATGCAACACTTGCAGCACCAGCAGCTGTGACAGCAGCAGCAGCAGCAGCATCGAGTGCGAGTGTGGCCAGTGGTCCCCTGAAAGGTAGCAGCAGCATGGGTCCCGGTGGCCTGGCAAGTGCTGCCGATTCAAAGGCTGCACCCACCTCTCCTGATGCGCCTGTTGCCTCCCGTGCTGCTGCTGCTCCTGCTCCTGCTGCTGTGCCCGCTGCTGCTGCTGCTGCTGATGTGGCCAGTGCTACGGCTCCTAGTGCTTCCGGAGGGGACGGAGGGGCGAGAGATTCGAGGGAGGTGCATCTGGGGAAGGTGCGTTCAGGGGAGGTGCGTGAGGTGCGTGAGGTGCATGAGGTGCAGGTGGTATCGGCGCCAGTGCCCCACTCAGGCAGCTATGGCAGCTGGCCGTGGTGGCAGGGCGGTCTTACGGGGGGCGGAGGAGTGTCTTCCTTTGAGGCTGCTAGGACAGCAGACCCTGGAGGAGCAATGGCAGCCACGGCACCAGCCACAGCAGCAGCAGCGGCAGGGGGAGCGACGACAGCAGCAGCAGCAGCAGCAGCGGCAGCGGCGGGAGCAAGCGAGGTAGCGAGAGGGCTGCGGCTAACATCACCAGACACTGCTGCCGGAGAATCACACAGAGTGGGAACAGCCGGAGTGGAGGACACGCTGGCAAGGGGCAGTGAGGAGCGACGGGAGGAAGGAGGCACGGGCAAGGGCAAGGGGGAAGGCAAGGGGGAGGGTCAGGGACACAAGAACCAGGAGGCGGCAGCAGAGGTGGAGGAGGAGGATGATGATGATGACGATGTGATTCTGGTGTGGGAGGGCAGCCGATCCTCCCCTCCGCCTCCTTTCCCACGCTCTCGTGCCTCTGCTGCTGCCGCTCGCCCCACCACTACCTCTGACGCTCCTGCTGCCTTGGCTGCTGCTCGTACTACCCCTGGCCTTGCCACTGCCTCTGCTGCCTCCACTGCCTCTGCACGACGTGCTGCCTCTCATCGTCTCCACGACACAAGCCGGGACTCCCTCTTCCGCACTCCCCCCCTCCATCCACCCTCCCCCTTCCCCCACCACCACCACTGCCACCACTGCCACCACTGCCACCACCTTTATCACAGCTCACCCTTTCCCTCCCACCAGCGCCCCCCCTCCCCCTGCCTCCCGTGCCTTCCCCCCACCAGCCCCCGGCACACCCCCACCTCTCTTCATCTCCTGCCCCCCCCGCCCACCCCCACGCGGCTAGGTTCAGGGCCCAGGGGTCATGGCTGCCGTCCCTGCCCATGCCTTGGGAATCGCCCTCCCCATCCGGACCTACGCCTCGAGATGTGCCTCCCTTTTCCGGACCTACGACTCGGGATGTGCGTCCCTTTTCCGCGCCTGTGCCTCCGGGTTCCCCGTCACGTTCCGGACCTGTGGCTCGGGAATACCCAGAGCGAGCCCCATCGGTTCAGAGGTATATGGACCTTAGAAGTCCTTTGGCTCGGGAGGGACCTCCTCCACCCGAACATGTGGCTTGGCAGCAACAGCAGCAGGCATGGAAAGAGGTTCGGAACGAGCCATTGCAGCAGGCTTGGCGCGGTGAGCCGGGGCAGAATATGGTTCAGCAGCAGGCTCGGTGGGTGAGGCCTGGGGATGCCGCTGGGGTTGCCAATCGAGGTGGCGGTGGTGGTGGGAACAATGGTGGTTTTGGTGGTAATTCTGATGGTGAGCGAGATAGAGGGACGAGAGGAGGAGAGGCGGAGAGGGGGAGAGGAGGAGAGGGGGAGAGGGGGAGAGGAGGAGAGTGGGAGGGGAGGAGAGGAGGAGGCATAGCGGATCTAAACGCCGCTGCTGCTGCAGAAGCAGGGGACACTCGAGAGGCTGACAGCAGCAGCAGCAGCAGCAGGGGTGAGAGCGCAAGGCGAGGACTCAGCAGAGGGGCGTTGAGGCACGAACCCACTACCGGCCAGGGCAGAGGCATGCAGCAACAGTTTGGGGCACGATTAGAACGAGATTTGAGGCGCGAACCCGATTCAACCCCAGGCAGAGGCATGCAGCAGCAGCAGCAGCAGCAGCGCTTGCAGTCACGATCAGCACGAGACCCACGGCTACGGGGGCAGATAGCACCCCGGGTACAGAACCAAGCTGGTGGGCAGGTGCGAGAGGTAGGGGGTACCGAGCAGAGGGAGCCAGCCGGGGCTCGAGACAGGGCCGTTTATGAGTCGAATCACACGCCGCCAGGGGGGCCTGGAGACAGAGCCCCAGCGGGCAGAGAGCAGGGAGAGCAGGGAGAGCAGGCAGGTGAGGATGGGGAAAGGCAGCGATGGGAGCGCAGTGTGCAGCAGGGGGGACGAGAGGGAAGGCAGCAGATGGAGCCGGTGGGGTTGCAGCAGCAGCAGCAGGGGGAGCGCAGTGTGCAGAAAGGAGGGCTAGAAGGCAGGCAGCTGAGCGTGCAGCAGCAGCAGCTAGTGCAGGCAGCTCATGCCTCCAAGGCCCCCCTGCACTCACAGCAGCAGCAGCAGCAGCAGCAGCAGCAGCACCAAGCAGGTGCGTTTCTGCAGCAGCAACATGTGAACCCAACGGTCGCTCCCGTCGCACCAGCAGAAACAAACAACCAGCAAAGCGGCCCCCGCCTCTCACCCACCTCCCTCCTGCAACTCCTCTCAACCGCCCCCAACCCCCTCCCTCCCAACCTCTTACACACCCTACAGAACCCCCGCTCTGCCCCCTCATTCTCCTCCCTCTCCTCTCCCCCACTAGTATCCAACCTGGGGGGGGTGTCCCAGTCCCCCCAGGTCCCTCACCCCCCTCGCTCTTCCCCTCAGCTTCCCCCTCCCATCAACTCTCCTGTCAACTCTCCAATCAACTCCCCTCTCCACCAGCTCTCCTCGCTCACTCACTCTCAGCGCCTAAGGTTCCTGCAGGGGCTCAGTCCAGAGAGCTTGGCAGCAGTAGCTGCTAGTATGGCAGCAGCGACCGCAGCAGCCACCGCTGCAGCTGCTCCTGCAGCCACTGCTGCAGCGGGAGGGGGAGGGGGGAGGGAAAGGGGGGAAGGAGCCAGGGGAGCAGGAGCAGCAAGGGTAGCAGGGCCGACAGGAGCAGGGGCAGGAGCAGGGGCAGGAGCAGGGGCAGATGGGAGAGCAAGCAGAGCAGGAGGAGGGGGGGCAGGGCCACCACTGGAATCACGACAAGCACAGCAATCTGGGCCGTTCAGAGGCTTGCAGGCTCCTTTGGACGGCCCAGATGCGCCCATCATGGGATTGAGCAGATCTCAACCGTTCGTGGTGCCAGATGATCGATTCCATCCGTCCCATCCCCCCTTCCCTCCCTCTCAACCCCCCTCTCTCCCTCCACCACCGCACCGGTCCTTGTTGGGATCTGCTCGTCTTCCCGCTCCGCGCCAATTCGTCAATCCACAGCAGCACCAACAGCAGCAGCATCATCAGCAGCAGCAGCAGCAGCATGGACAACAGGGTCCACCACACCCCCATCCTCAGTCCGTCCATTTTCTTTCCCCTCCACACCCCTCCCATCCCTCTCTCCCTTCCCCTCCACACCCCTCCCATCCCTCTCTCCCTTCCCCTCCGTTGCACCCGAATCGCCTCCCCCTCTTCCCCTCTGACTCCAGGCAACTCTCATCCCCTCCAAACCTCCCCTCTCCAAACCTCCACTTTCCGCCGAACCTCCCCTCTCCAAACCTCCCCTTTCCACAGAACCTTTCCTCTCCACCAATCCTTCCCACGCCACCAAATCTCCCCTCTCCTCCGAACCTTGCCTCTTTACCGAACCTCCCGTTTCCCAACCAGTCACAGAGCGCGCATCAACCCCGGGCTGCGCAGGCTCGGATAACCCGATTCCCTTCCCCAAGCCCAACCCGAACCTCAGAACCCACACACAGCCCTCCCCTCACCCAAACCTCCCCCCCGAACCTCCGCCGAGCCTCATCGTTTCAGCACCCAACGAAGCGACCAGCCCATTCAAGCCCACTATCAGCACAACCTAGGGCCAATCCAACATCTCCCTCACTCTCCCTCACACTCTCATCCCCCTCTCCTCCCGCTTCCTCCCCCTCGCCAGTCCCTTCCATCCACGGCACCCCCAGAGGGCCTGCTACCACGATTCAGGCTGCCATTGCCTCCTATGCTGCTGCCGGCACTGCCGCCGCTGCTGCTGCCAATGCCTCTGCATCTGCCGCTGGTGGTGGTGGTGTTGGCAGTGGTGGTGGTGCTGCTGGTGGTGGTGGTGGTGGTGTTGGCAGTGGTGGTGGTGCTGCTGGTGGTGGTGGTGGTGGCAGTGGTGGCGGGAACGGTGTTGGCAGTGGTGGCGGGGGGGTGGGAGGGGGAGGGGCGGTGGAGGACGAGTGGGCGATAGGGCGAGTGCAGGCGCTATGCAGCCAGCGGCGGTGGCGCAGCACCTGGGCAGTGGGGCGCACACGGGCGGGGTGAGTGTGACGCGAGGAGGTGGGTGTGGCATGTGCCAGGTGAGTGTGCCAGGTACAGGGTGGGTGGGTGCATTAGGTAGATCGGAGGTGGCGCTGCAGCTGGGCGGTGGGGCGCACACGGGCCGGGTGAGTGTGAGGGTGGGTGCAGCAGGTGGGTGCAGCAGGTGGGTGCAGCAGGTGGGTGCAGCGAGTGTCTGCTTCTTTCTTACACATTCACCCTTCACACTTCAGCCAGCGCTCCCCCCTCAACCGTCCCCCATCCTCCTTTACGCACCCATTCTGTGTCCTCTCTACAAGCAGGTTCCGTGCAACGTGCACAGTGACAACACAAAGCGGCCAGGTGTTTGTGCAGAGGGGCGAAACTCCGCAGAGCGAGCTGAGAGCCAGCGGCAATGCAGCGATCAAGATGCTGCGCATGCTTAACGACCTGGAGGACAGAGGCTGCTGATGAGCTGACAAGTGCATTCTGAGATGTCTGTCTCGTTGACTGGAATGACACATGCTAGCAGCCAGAGCCCGCATCATCGCAGCGATCAAAATGCTGCGCGTGCTCAATGACCTGGAGGATAGGGGCCGCTGATGTGTTGTCTCTCCCAAGCATCCCTTGCCTTGACTCTCCCCAAGAAGCAAGCAAAAACCGAAGGGTCCCCACCCCATTGCAGTGGTCAAGATGCTGCGCATGCTCAATGACCTCGAGGACGGGCCGCTGAGCCGACTCAATTGATGATGTGTGTAGCCATTGTTGAAAGCACAAGGGGAATGAGAGCCAGCATCAATGCAGCGATCAATGTGCTGTGCATGCTCAATGACCTCGAGGATAGAGGCCGCTGATGAACTGACTCGCCTTGAGTGCATCACATGTCAACTTATATACATTTGTTGTTTTAGGCTAGATAGGTGCATGCTCTTAGAGGGTATAACACACGAGCATAAGAACACCCTGTATGCCCTAGTCTATTTCCACTTTGCTACTCTGAGATGGCATCACGCTAGGTAGGTCCCGCCCACCCGCGCTTCCGCCCTAGCCTACCGTAGCCTACCCCTACCTAGCCCGCCGTGCCGCGCTGCCCTAGTCTGCCGCGCCACGCCGCCCTAGTCCCTAGCGCCCGCCCTATCGTGCCCTCGCCCTAGCCCACTGGCCCCTAGCTCGCCGCTGGCCCTTTGCGCGCCACGCGAGCCCTTGCCGCGTGGCTCCTAGCCTGCTGCCGGTCCCTTTCCTCGCTGCGTGGCCCCCTAGCTCGCCGGCCCCAGCTCGTCGGCCCCCAGCTTGCCGGCCCCAGCTCGCCGGCCCTAGCACGCCGCCCCTAGCTCGCTCGGCGGCCCTAACTCACTCGCTGGCCCCAGTTCGCTCGCTGGCCCTAGCTCGCTTGCCGCCCCTAGCTAGCTCGCCGGCCCCAGCTCGTCGGCCCTAGCACGCCGCCCCTAGCTCGCTCGCCGGCCCTAACTCACTCGCTGGCCCCAGTTCGCTCGCCTGCGCGCCACCGGCCCCAGCTCGGACTCTGCTTGCCGAGCCGCGCCGCCCCAGCTCGTCATGCCGCTGTGCCGCCATGCCGTTGTGCTGCCGTGCCGCCGTGTTGCTGTGCCGCCGTGCCGCTGTGTCCCCGTGCCGCTGTGCCGTCGTGCCGCTGTGCCGTCGTGCCGCTGTGCCGCCATGCCGCCGTGCCGCTGTGTCGCTGTGCCGCTGTGTTGTCAGCTGCTACAGCTGTGGTGATGGCGGACGCTGTGCTCCGCCTGCACGCGGAGGGTCGGGTAGTCGACTTTAAGGCGTGGCTCGCCGACCTCCGCCGCCAGCTGAAGGTTCAGCACCAGGATGGCCAGTCCCTAGCCGTCCATGTTGACGGTAAGATCCCGTGCCCCGACCTGCCTGCTGCCCTCCGTGACGCCCCCACACCTGCTGAGCATGAGGCCTTTGCCGCTGCTGAGATCGCTCGCTCTGTCTGGGAGTCGCGCGACACAGATGCGCAGCTTGCTATCAGTCACGCCCTCCCCCTGTCCGAGCGTCCCCGCTTTCGGGCCATAAAGACTGCGAAGGAATACCTAGATGCCGTCATTGCATGCTATTCCACTCCCTCCTCCGCCTCAGCTGGCCTTCTCCTTCTCCCCCTGCTCTTCCCTGAACTTGCATTCTTCCCCACTGTCGGTGAACTTGCCACTCACCTCTGCGCACTCGAGACTAGCTACCGCCCTGCTAGCACTAAGGCCCAGCTCACTACACTGCCTTTCCCCCTCGGCGCTACCCTCTACTTCCTTGCTACGCGCCTTCTCGATCGCCTCGCCACTGCCCGCGACCACTTCCTTACTCTTCACCCTTATTGACTTTGTCACCACCCTGTCCGCGATAAAGACCCGCGAGCGCAGTATCGCTCAGTCTAGCAGTACTGCGGCGGTCGCTATCTTCCAGGGCTATGCTCCCTCCTAGTGCACTTACTCTGATATCTCTGCCGCTGTCGCTGAGACAGACCCTGCTGCTGAGACCGCCGTGCCAGCCTCAGCGTAGCCTCATTAGGGTAAGGGCCGCCACCCTAGTGGGGGGCCCGGAGGGGTGGCGGAGGTGGGGGAGGTGGTGCGAGTGCCGGTGGTACAGATGAGGGGGTCGAGGCTGATGCCCTAGTGCAGTAGCAGGAGCAGCAGCAGCCGTGGGGACCCCCGTCGCTATGGTGGCCTGGCGGCTTTGGTGGCGTCGACCGCGGTGGCGGCTCACGCAGCTTGGCGTCGGGTGCCGGCTCCAGTGCGGTGACTTGCCAGTACCAGCTTCAGGCCAGCCCCCATCGTGGCACCGTGTGTGACCGTCCCGGTCCCACCGCCGCCCGCTGCTACCGCCGCCTCGACGACCTTTTCCCTCTCCGTTTTGGGTCCGTGCCGGACCTCCCGGACTGGCACAGCCTGGTACGTCACCGTGTGCCGGTCTTTGAGATGGATATGGATCAGATTCGCTTGTATGCCATGCATGTTGATAACTTTAGTATGACTGGACCTTATTACCATATGTTGCCTAGTGTAGGTGTGTCCATTGTGTGTAGACTAGGTTCCCCTACTCCGTCAGGCGTAGGACCTCCTGATTTGTTTAGCCTTGGCTCCATGCTAGTCCCTTTTCCGGCTGACGCCACCGTTGCTTCCTCCTTCACCTTGGACTCAGGTGCGTCCGCCTGTTTCTTTCGCGACCACACTGCGCTTACGCCGCTTGCCACCCCCGCAGCCGTCGCGCTTGCTGACCCCTCTTCAGGTCCGGTAGTTGCACGTAGCTCCACCACCCTTCCCTCTCCGGCGGTCCCCTCGGGCTCCCTTACAGGCCTGCACATCCCCTCATTCTCCAGAAACCTAGTCGGTGTCGCGTGTCTTCAAGACCTCGGCGTCACCACTACGTTCTCTGGTCACGAGCGGTACGCGGTCTATGCCGAGGCCTCCACTGGTGCACCCCTCGCCACATTCCCCCAGGACCCGGTGTCCGGCTTGTTCACGCTAGACACCGCGTCCTTCCCGGTGGGGGCGTCCTCTCAAGTGGTTGCGCCTACCCAGGTAGCTGCGGCTTGCTCGTGTCGGTCGCTCACTCACCCATCGCTTCTGTGGGACCCCCGTCTAGGTTACCCTTCAATCCTGCGTCTGGGTCTTATACCACAGCACGGTCTTGTCTTAGGTCTTCCAGCGTTGCTCCTTGCCCTCCCTCCCTCGCCCGCGCCTCAGTGCACTCCCTGCATCGAGGGTCGGGTGCGCCGTGCTCCTCACTCCTCCTTGTTTCCTCCCACCACTGCGCCACTCCAAACCCTGCATTTGGACGTCTGGGGCCCAGCCCCCGTCCCTGGGCCGCGTCGCGAGCTCAACTTTCTGGTGCTTGTCGACGACAGCATGCACTACACCATGGTGTTTCCCCTGGAGCGGAAGGCCGACGTGCCTAACATTCTTATCCCGCGGCTTGTAGCTGCGCGAGTACACTGCGCCCTGCCAGTGCTTCATCTCCACTCCGACCGTGGCGGTGAGTTCGCCTCCGGTCGACTTGGTCACCTCTGTCGTGCGTAGGGTATCACCCAGTCGTACACCCTGCCGGACTCCCCGCAGCAGAATGGGGTCACTGAGTGACGCATCGGTTTGGTCATGGAGGTGGCTCGTAACTCCATGATCCATGCAGGTGCACCCAATTTTCTATGGCTGTTCGCGGTGCTCTATGCTGCTCACCAGCTTAACCTGTGGCGGCACTCCCAGCGACCGCAAGTTTCGCGGACCCTTTTTTGGACCGGGTCCCCTGGTGATGCGTTTGCGTTTCATGTCTGGGGCTGCATCGCTCACGTCCGCGACTCTCGCGCGGACAAGCTCACAGCCCACACCGTCCCTTATGACTTTCTTGGCTTCCCCCTGGACGCGTCTGACTGGACGTCACCTTTGACGAGTATGTTCCCTTCTACACCCGCTTCCCTCACCGAGGTCTCTCGGTCACCCCACCCCTTTTCCTTGTCCCCACTCCCCCGGTAGCTCCCGCTCCTCGTCCTGCCCAATCTGGTTCGTCTCGCGTCACTCCCCTTCCGTTGGTTGCCCCGGCGTAAGAGTCTGCTGATTCTGGGGGCCCTGCTACCTCAGGGTCTACCGCCAGTCTCCGCAGTGCTAGCGCCCTCCGCACCGGTGTCTCCTCCGCCACTGCAATAGCAGCAGCCGCCGCAGCCGTAGGGGTCCGAGAACTCTGGGGGTGCTGGGGGTGCGGGTGCTGAGGAGGGTGCTGGTCCTAGGGGTGCTGGTTCTGGGGGTGCTAGTCCGGGGGGTACTGTCGTGGCTCGTCTCGGCGGTCCTGGGGGTGGCACAGGTGTTGGAGAGGGTTCTAGTTCTAGGGGTGTTTGTCCTGGGGGTGCTGTCGTGGAGAGTCCCGGTGGTAGCCGTGGTGTGGATGGAGGCTCTAGAGTGGGCGCGGAGCAGCACCAGCAGAAGCACCAGTCGCCGCCGGTCTCCGCCCTTCGCCTCCTCGGTCTACCCTCCCCCGACCACCCACCCGCGCCTCCCCTGTTGTCGCCTCCTCCGCTGGTCTACGGCCCTGTGTTTCCTTCGCCGGACTCGCCCACGGCTCGTTTTCCCCCTCAGTCACCCCGTGTGTCTCCTCCTGTGTCTCTTGACCCGACGCCCCCCTCCCACTTATGGTCTCGCTATCCTTCTCGTGCTCGCCCGGTCTCTCCTGTTCAGCGTTCTCACCCTATGTTGCTCCGTTCTCACGCGTCTCGTGCTCCGCGTGCCCCTCTTCTCTCGTCGCCTCCTCTGTCATCGCTTGTTGTATCTCCGCCTCCTTTCTCTGACTTCCTGCATGCTGCTCGCCCTCTTGTTCCTCGTGTCCTCGCCTCTCTTGTTACCGACCTGTCCGTTCCTGTCTCCGGTCTTGACGCTCTTGTCGCTACTGTCGCTGACTTTGCCTCTACTTGCAGCCTTGATCACGCCACTGCTCTGGTCTGTGACCCTGCCCATCCTCTGTCCGTCGGCAGTGCACCTGCCCTTGGCAGTGACGTCCTAGGGGATAGGCAGTACGAGCTAGCTTTCCTGTCCGAGGCCGCTCTCAATCTCTGCTCCATGTTGCTTGCCCCTGAGGGTGACCCAGATGCTCTTGACATCCCGACCCCTCGCACTTACACTGAGGCGACCTCGGGAACCTGGGCCTCTCAATGGATAGCTGCCATGGAGCAGGCGATGGCATCTTGGAGATCCACCGGCACCTACGTCGACACAGTTCTCCCACCAGGGGTGAACGTAGTCGATGGCCGCTGGCTCTTCAAGGTGAAGCGCCCTCCTGGAGAACCACCGGTATTCAAGGCGCGCTTTGTAGCTAGAGGCTTCAGTCAGCGCGAGGGTTTTGACTTCTTTCAGACCTTTGCACCGACCCCAAAAATGACCACTCTTTGGGCGCTGCTTCACGTAGCAGCACAGCGCGACTATGAGCTGCACTACGTTGACTTCTCCACAGCGTTTCTCCCGGGCAGTCTGCACGAACA